TTCCGGGATAAAAAGTAACCTATATGTTATTCTGATATATAAGCTAAATTATTGTAAAGTTTCATTAAAATCCATTCAGTAGTTTTTGCGCCAAAGAGTAGCAAATATCCATACACCTATACAACCATACAACAAACTTTGGCATTTACAATATAAGAAGAAAGTAATAAAACATAAACAAAACAGAACATTTAAAAACCACTAACTAATAAGTACAATTACTGGTAACATCAATACAATATAAATACTTTACGAGTTTAGTCTTGTATTTTATACCTGTACAACATTTTTATAAATATTTATACTAAATACTACACTTCAATGGAGGAAAATAATAATACAAAATATATTTCATATGAATCTTTATTATTTTAACAAAAAAATATTTGGCGATTTTGGCACTTTTCAATGATTTTTTTCGCCAAGCCAGAACTTAGACCAGTGACACGACATTGTATAGATACCTAACAGTTATATTTTTATAAGCTTTATTTTAGCTAGCTTTTATTTTAACTAGATTGTTCTGTTGTTGAGATTCATTATGAAGTCGGTGAAACATTACAATTCATTGTATATTACAAGTTGGTATGTCTTGAAGCCCATGCCGGCGCATGAGCGCGCAGCGTGATGATGATGAATGGCGCTATCTGATGCACGTCAGCACAATGATTGGCGTGTACCGTGTACTACTGATTTGAATCTTTAGGGTTTAGGCTTGAACCATTTTTTTTGTGGCAAACATTTAGAATTATAACAAAATATACCTTAGCCCAGTAACAAAATTTTACGTGACAAAAATGCTTCATACATATAGCTCTTTTAACATTATGGTAAAAATACCAAGAATACCAAATACGCTTTTATAAAATAAAATAAAAAAATATATTTTGGGACAGTAACACACAGCACTATCTAGTTCCATGGTAAGCTACGAGGCTTGTGTTATGGATACACTACACATATATGACTTTAAATACATACATATTATTTATATAAGAACCCATGACTGGAGTACAAACATTCGTGCTCAACACTCAAATAAATGCCCTCAGTGGGATTCGAACCCGCGACCGCTGGAACAACAAGTACGGTCACAACAAACTGACCTAAACGTTTCGACAACTAATTGTATTACATGGGTTTAAAAGGAGACCAATCCCAAAGGTTTTTTTTTACTTATGAATGAAGAATTCATCAAATTATTAAATTATATGGATTATTAAAATTACGATGTTTCAAATGGAAACAAAAATTAGAAGTAGGTTAAAATAGAGTCATATAAAGCAGAAAACCGTGGTAAAAAGAAAATATATTTAAGTCCCTCCACGACCGCGGACACGCCGGCGTGTCAGTTAACAATAGATCTTAGAATTTTAATTAATTTCTTAGAAATTTACCTGGAGGTGTTAAATTACTTGATGAAATTACAATTGTTATTGAACTAATCATTTTTAAATATATAATAGTAATGTACAATCATTAGAACTAGAAATTATTATATATTGTAAGGTCGATTTGCGCAAAAGGATGCAGATCAGATTACAATCTCGTAGCTGCCAAAGTGCGAAATTAAACATTAACCATGTTATGTGGCGTTTTGTTTTATTTTAGAACTAAAACTTTTGCCATCACTAAGAATGTTACTTATGGAGAATCCCATGAATATCGATTACACATATTATAATAAAATTCTAACTGTGTCGAATCTGTACATTAAATATTTTTTGGAAAATCTTATTGAAATATGTACTAATTATTACAGAGATACAGAGGCCGAATATATAATTTTTAGAATTTTTGTCTGTCTGTCTGCGTGAGAACGCATCACGAGAAAACCACTAGATAGATTCTGATAAAATTTGGTATGATGATGGCTGATTATCCGAGTCAATATATAGGATACTTTTTACTGCGGGAAAATATCTCATCTCTGAGAAATCTATACTAAACTCGGGATGAACCTGAGCGGAGCGAGGGTGAGTTGCTAGTAATATTATAAAAATGAAGACATTTTTTGTTCCTCTTTGATCCCCTTCAAAGTTAAGTAAAGATATTTCTGTATAGAAATCCACGATCCAGTCCACTGCCATGTCAGATATTATCTACTTTTTACATTCATATCACAGACTTTTATGAAATTTCTAATTTTTTTGTTACTAATTTTATCTTTTACTTCCACATTAATCACACTCCTTTCTATTTTACTTTGGTAATTTTAAATACGTAGTACAATAGAAATTAAACTATTAATTATTCTTAATTTATAGGAGGTTTTAGGAAATATTTGCATAACAGTCTACCGTCACACTTTCTGAATATGGGAAATTAGTCTTATCGCATTTACACTTCGGTCTAGTAACTTGCTGAATTCTAATCAGATTGCCCAATAGACGGACTTCTGCATAGTATATCTCATCTAAGAATGCTTAAATTGAACAGTTAATGGTTTTACAGTAACACATAGTGTGAATTTTATTATTCCTTCACGCTTAGACGGCTGGACCGATTAGGATGAGTACACACACTATGTGTCCAGATCATACAACACGTAGGCTATTGTAGTAATAACCAAAACGTGGCGTGGAATTTTTGTCTGTCTGTCTGTTACCGCATCACAGAAAAACCACTGGAGGGATTTTGATGAAATTTGGTATGATGATAGCTGGTTATCCAGGTCAACATATAGGATACTTTTTACTGCAGGAAAATGTCTCATTTCTGAAAAAAATACAAAAACTACAATGTAAGAGTATACTAATATGTAAACCCTAAGAATTTGGTTTTTGGTCATCTGAACGCGGGCGGAGCCGCGGGCAGTGCTAGTATTAATATAAAATCTAATTTATGACATATAAGCATAAATAATTACTATTTAGTGCACACTGCAACAAGTGCGTCGTCGTTACTAGGCTTCTAACAAAATGTACCTAGTTTTAAATTATATTTTGTCCATTGTTTTCCCCTTTAAATACTTTATATGCAATCATGCGACTATAATAATGATTGTTTTCGATTTCTAAGGATTTTGCGTAATTATATTATGATTTCTATAATAAATTGCAATATAAATATCTTCTTGGTAACTCCAAGGATAACTTCCTTTATTAATAGTTACACTACCCTTGATTTGCTGTTAAATGTACTCGTACTTTGCAAAATGAATTACTTATCACAGATATACATACATATAAACTAATTTTCATATTTAACTACGAAAAGGTTAATACTTTCTTAGATTTACATTTTTGTAAATATTTGACATTTTATAGTAAACAAAAGTCATTTTTTTTTCATTTTTTTTTCGGTTTTATTTCGAAAGCTTTACATCAAATATGGCTTCGAGAGAAACTAATATTTTTTTATAATTTTACTCTTCGAAATTATTGTATAACATACTTGCGTAAATACACACTGTACTAAATATGACTTTTGAGATGTGAAAAGCCTGAAACGTGAACAAATCGTCAAAATTAAACCGCGTAAATATCCCAAAAATTAGTTTACTCCTAAAGCAAAAGTAACTAGAAAAAATACCCTTATCTAAGTATAAAAGTATGTAAACATCAAATATGTACCAAGTGGACCAAACCCTTAACATTGACATATACCCTCCATCGTATTAGATAGGCGGCCACACAACCACTGAGCTACTACTACCTTTACAATACATTTTACAACGGTAAAATATTTGTGGTTAACAAATTTAACACCTATTCTTCTATTTCTTTACCGCCATTAACCCTTTTATTCGCATCCCGGTTCACACGCTCTGAATATGCGAATGTTAAGTTTTACTTTCGAAGCCACATCGTCAAAAATGTTTTAGATTTTGTTTCTTTGTGGTATAACTTTGAACGGATGAAATTATCAAAACTAGTACAATCTTATTACGTTTTATTTTAAGTACTTAGTGTATATTTTTCACCCGACTGCAGCGAAGCAGGGTTACATGTTTCACCTAAATGTATGTATGTATGTCCGATCCTATGTTCCCTAGTAATTACTGAACAGTTTAATTTCCTTGTTGCGAGTCTCGCTATATCCGATATGTCTCCGATTATTTAATACTTTATTACTTCGTCAACTGGTTTCTTTACCTTTTTTGTTTGGTTTACGCAGTCGGGTTTTTGTAATATATTATATACGAAAGTATATTTAAAAGGTTTAATTTTGCCTATTAAGGACTTCAAAAAGCAATCTAAGTATATATGAGTTAATTTAATTTTAATGTTCTTTACTCCATATTTAAACAATTAAAAGGACGACAATATCACTTTGTAATCTGGATATTAGCTCAAAATATGACGCTTTTAACCTAAATAATTAAGTCTGCCGCATAGGTGTTTGACTTTTACGGCCTCTAAAACTGCAGTTGCATGCTCACACGAACTAGGATTCTAGGCCAACCTTGTAGTGTGTACTTTTGTTCAGACTTTATATCCATATAACGCATATAATAAGTAATTTAGAACTAATATGTCACGATGCCTTCGTTCAAGAAACTTTATTTATTATTGTACATGCATTGCATGTATGTATTATTTTTGTATCGAAAATATCCGATTCTATTATTTTTAGTAATACCGAAAAAAAATTACGCAATAGATATAATAATGAACTATATGAATCAAAAATATACCCGATTTCCTCATAGCCACAATCTATTACTGGTCAGGGAGAAAAAAAATAATAATTTTAAAATACGCTTTTTAAAATATGTATAGAATAAAATAATACTTTCTTAGATTTACGCGAATATTTGACATTTTAAATAAAACTATCTTTTCGGATTTTTCGCGGATTTATTTTGAAAGAGACGGAAGAGACCGTCTGTCTCTGCAGTGGACCATAATTGCTATAAAGTATTCGAAAGATCGTGAAACAAAAATCAAAATAAATCCACCTACATATCCGATAAGATTTATATTAAAATAAAATATATTTTTTTATTTAGCTATATATTCGCTTGTATTAAAATTAACGTAACTCTTTCTTTTTAGCGCAACTCAAACGCAGGTCGAGGGAAGAGATTCACATTCCAATCTACTGTGCGACAGCTAGAGAGGCGACGCTTGGCGGAGAAGCTGTCTCGTGAAGCAGATCTGAAGGAGCAACAGAGAAGAACAGAGCTGGAGGCCATGAGGAGGTTGCTCATAAATATAATATAATATAAAATTTAGAGGAACTTTACTTTTCTACAAATCTATACTTTCCCTCGCTTCGCCGGGTGCGTCCCGACGTAGGAGGATTTTGTTCATGGGTTTTAACTTTTTTGCGCAGAGCCCGAATTCTCTTTCTAAAATAAAAGTAGTCTAAGTTACTCCTTATAAAATCAGTTATCTGCCAGTGAAAGTCCCGTCAAAATCGGTCGAGCCGTTTCGAAGATTATAACAAACAAACAAACAGACAGATAAAAAAAATAGTTTTTTTTATAGATTTCATACAGACTCTTTAATTTTATTTATTTGTAAAGATAGTAGTAGCTTTCAAGGTCCACTATTAAAGTAACTAATACAAATATGTTGTCTATGAAACGTAGAGATGATGAGGAATAAACGAAAATTGCCAGCCTAACGTGTAAGCGATATTAATGATTAACTAGAACTAAAATGCATAAACACAGTGTCAAGTCGAGATAATAGGTCAAGTTATACTGACTTAATATTCAAACTTAAGAATCTACTTCCAACACGTACGAGGGTTGTACGTTGTTAAATAAATCTCATTTTCTTCATGCACAGTACCTATATAATAAACTAGCGCTCGGGTTCGTCCCTAGGTTCATTCCCTATACAAAATTACATCCCCATGTTCACCCCCTTAAGGGATGATTTCCGGAATAAAAACTATCCTATATCTTTTCTAGTATCTCAAACTATCTTCTTACCTCATCTTAATCGGTCCAACAGTTTCGGAACTTATGCGGTACACACAAATAACCACAAAAATCTTTCCTCTTTATGACATTAGTATAGATAAATACACTCTATTTTGTTTCTTTATTTTCAATATAATTTGTTACCTTAAATTTAACTAATTTAAAAAATACTACTAAGACAATATATTTAATTCATTTCAGAGTTGAAGAAGAATTCCAGCGTAAGAGGGCGAGAGAGAAGGCCAATATAAGACAGCAGCTGCGGCTGGTGAGCAGTGGCGCCAACAGCATGCCGCCACCGTCTAACAATAGCAAGGTAGTTTCATCAATAATAGTATAGTAATATATTTTAGATAACAATTTAAAAATGACGTAAGGGATTGCATGATGTACGTACATCTTTTAGAACAAATAAATCTAGCTGACATTCTAAGTTAACTATTTGAAGTTAGCCAATCGAATTATCAAAACTTATTATTATAATACTTTCGTAGGCTTACGCGAATATTAGAAATTTTTATTGTAGCATTATAACTTTAAGATTTCTTTACTATTTTTAATAAATATTTGTAATAAAACGTGCTTATAATAATTAATATTTTTTAAATTGTTAAATACTACCGTGCCACTTTTTTTCAAAATGAAAATATACTTTTTGTCTGTTTGTAAAAGTTTTGTTATGTCAATTTAAATGACACATGACTTTTGAGATCTAAAAAACCTTAACCTCTCCCGTGACCCCTGCGTGTTCCTGATTTTTCGAATATTTAACAGTAGATATGCTACTGTCAAATATTCACAAAATCAGAAACAAAAAAAGGAAAAAATAATCAAAATAAAACCGAAAATAAAATCCGAGATAATATTTTTTTTCAAAATTATAAATAAATAATATATTTATTAACATATTATAAACGTAACTTGTCTGTAGACGCGTGACGAGCCAGACGGCTCCTGCCGCGGCTCGCCGGCGCCGGAGCGGCCGCGCGACGCGCGCGTGCGCAGCCACGCCTCCTCGGAGGGCAGCGCGCGCAGCAAGAGCTCCACACCCGTAAGTGTGCCATATAAATTACTTATTTATTAGTACTAATAAGTTTAATTTTATATATCAAATGGAATTATCTGAATTGATAAAAAAGATTGTATTAAATTGTAGATAATTTGACCATTCTTAGGTATTTTTTTAATTAGTTTTATTAAAACCACTCTTAAAAATATTAAAAAATTATTTCATATATTGAATTTTTGATAAAAAAAACGGACATTTTTTAACAACAAAATGTTTTTGCTTCTCTGTGGTTTATATTCGTAGGGTTTAATTTGCTAATGTATATATATTATGTATAGTAAAAGTAAATTGAAAATATAGTCAAATGGATATACATACATATGTATGATCTATCGACACAATATTGCACGAGTCAGTAGCTCATTCTGTGAGTCTTTGTTTGGCGTGGCGGGCGCAGATCCGCAGCGTGGAGCTGTCGGAGTGGCGGCAGGCCGACGCGCGCGTGTACCGCGACTGGGCGGCGACGGCGCACGCGCACCCGCCCGCCTGCGCGCGCATGCCCAACACCGCGCACGCGTACGCCGGTATGTGCATACCTACTCATTTATTTCAACTTATTTATTTATTAGTGACTGAAGTTTCTTACTCCAGATTATAATATTGACGTCCAGATTGACTTGACTTACTCCTTAGATGCCAAATAGAAGAATATGAGTTATTGTAGGCCGTAGTCTCTCTGTATACTTTTCACCTAAATCAATCCAGCTGTTTTAGCGAGAAGGAGGAACAAATACATAATTAAACACATCCATACAAACTTTTGCAATTATAATACCTAGTCCAATACTTTATTCGGAAAACAAAAATGATGAGGAAATAACACAAATCAATTCCATTAATAACTATTAGGCCATAGTCCAGCATGCCGGCCAAGTGCGGGATGACAGACTTCATTCTTTCATTCTACAAAATGTAACTATATACATATGTAATCTGTATGTTATTGTAACTTGTTATTGAAATAAAATAAACTTTATTCAATTAGACTTATAACAAGCGCCTTTGAATCGTCAATTTAATGTAAGCGTCAGTATAGTCAGTCCGTGAGGAAGCTAGCACCGGCTCGGAAAGCAGTTCTGCATAGAGAAGAGCCGGCGAGAAACTCGACAGTTTACCAAAATTTTTATCTGCAAATAATATTTTAATTTATTTATACTTTATTCTTATTTGTTTAAATACTACTACTAGATTAGGCTATAATCTAATACTACAAAAATAATACCTTTAATACGACCTAAATTAAATAAATATTATATTTGTGCAAAACAAAACGATACCTACCTAAAATACTTATTAATAAGTACATATATTTTTCTCCGAAATAGTATATATAATAAAGGCGTGACTGTGATCTACTGTAATATAAATTTAATGGCACGCACAATAATATCAAAATCAGCCATCAAATAAACTGACACTCGCAGAATACCAATGCGCCGGACGTGCCGCGCTCCGTCGCGATGACAGTGACACACTTTATGTGATTTAGATACAGCCTACTGTGCCAGTAATCTATATCTATACATATAATAAAAGTTTGCGTCACACTACAAATGTGAGACATTTTGTGTGTTTATGCATTTTTGTTACTAGTTCACGCAGAAACGGCTCGACTGATTTGCATGAAAAGTACACAGAATATGACTTATGATGGAGTAACATTTTGTATACTGTTAGTAATAAAAGCCCAAAGGTGACGCAGCCTGTATAGATTATATTATTTTGTCGACACGTTTGGCTAAGTTTGTGGTGACCCTACTTGCCGTGCCAGCGGTCGCGGGTTCGAGTCCCGCTGGGGGCATTCATTTGTGTGATGAGCACGAATGTTTGTACTCCAGTCATGGGTGTTTATATTTATAATTATTTTTTTTTTTTTTTTTTTTTTTTTTTTTAACACAAGCCTCGTAGCTTACCATGGAACAAGATGGTGCTGTGTGTTAATGTACCCAACATATTTGTTTATTTATTATTCAAATAATATTAATATTAAATGTGTTCATTGAGCTTTTTATGTATATTTAAATATTATTTTAAGTTGTTGGCACGAAATTTTTTATTGCGATAAGGAACATCATTCTAACTCGTCGTTCGTTTGTTCTACTCAGCATACTCGGTGAATGAGAGTTAGATGGAAATAAGTGTAATATTTCGCTCATCACGACACTTATATATTATTTTTATTAAGAGCACCCCGAGTGACATCATCATAAGTACCAGGCGAGCATAAGTAATAAGGAGTGTATGTTGTAAGAAAGTCGTGTGCACTCTGTGCATGCTTTTCTTCGATGACCTTCAACATGTACAATTTAACGTACATTGCTTGAATGTTTGAAATACATACTCGATGTTTATGATACCCTGGTATTCATGACAAATTTTATAAGCTAATTTATAAGCCAAGGACAGACTGCGACAGCAACTTCGTTACTACTTCCCAATTGCATTTATTTATATTTTATTGTTTCCAACAAACAAACAAACAAACAAACATAACAAGAAACAAAGCTAACACAAAGTGCTCTACACACAGCAGAAGGTGAGGCGTTCAGCGGCAGCCCGCGCTCCGACAACTACCGCCTGGAGTTCGCGCGCGGCCGCTCCCCGCGCGCCCCGCACTCCCCGCACTCCCCGCGCACACCGCGCGCCCCGCGCCTCCTCGCCGCGCGCTCCCCTACCTCCTCCACCTCCGGCAGCGAGCTCTCCTTGCGACAACCCATTAAGATCAGGTAATGGACCTTGCTATGCCATCACACTCATGAGATCACAGTTCCAATCTTCTGTATGTCTGTAATCTTTTGTGTGAGTGTGTGTGTGGGTGTGAATCTGTTTCGTATTTATTACTAGTTATTTGAAAATGATTTGACTTAAATTAGATAAAATCAATACACAAAATATAGTTTCTCCATCTATTTTATTTTATTTTCTAAAAATATTTATTATGTACATATGTACACATTCATTTATATTCGTTTTTTATACAAATAAAGGTATTAAATTATAAAGTACTTTAATGTTTACTTAATAAAAAATATAAATACTAGGTACATAAAAGTAATAATACTGTAAAAACTTGCTGCATGGTGAATGTCAACAGACTAAGTTAAAAGTTATTTTGCTAAAATAACTTAATTTTATAGATTAAGCTTGTAGATCTTATTTAATAAGATTAGACTAATTAGACTAATTGCACGAAATGAACTGCTTGCACTAATTTGATTCGAATGTGGTATAATTAACATTGCATCTCAAATCTTCAAATAAACCTCAGACCAATAAATACTTTTTTAATGGTCTGAGAAATAAACATCGAAAAATATATAAAAAATGGGTGCGTGTAACCTTTACACGAGGTTGAAGGAAAACTTCTTTGGCAAATATGCAATTAGAATAAAACAAATCAATAATTAAATAAGGTATGCGAGGCATATTACAATCATATATTTATAGAATATCATATACGGAAAAAATATAATTTTATATATTTGTCAGAGAATAACAACGGTTACCATGGCAACATGGCAATGTATTCTATCTTATTCTCTCGCCGGCTTAATCATACAAACACATAATATATTTATGTGTTTGTCTCTTATTAGTGTCGCATTTTTGTTTCATCGTGTTTCAAATCACACGATTCTAAAGAAGTTTTACTTTAAAATATACATATATGAAACGAAAGTCTAAATAAACTTCTGATTTTAATATCAAACATACCATCCTTAAGATGTATAAAAATGCAAAAAAAATGGTAAATAAGTTTAAAGTTACATTTATAACGATACAGCAGTAAAAAGAGATGCGATGTTTTAATCAAAGTAGCATATCAGTTAACAAGTTATTCTTTTCCCAAGGTGGTGATGCCAGTAGTATTAACTAGGCTTGCGACAGACGGTGAGTGCTTACTAAAGCTTGTATATACATTTAATTTAATAATTTTATAGCGCTTTACAGGTAACATAGATATTTGATTGGAAAATACTAAAATTTTCTATCGTTGAATGTTTTATCGTAAGTGATGATGTAACAGTAGCTTTTAGTAGATACCTAATGGATGTATTAAAAGTGCTAACGGTTCCCTAACATCAATAATTAGTTAAGGCTGTCAGTGCAAATATGGTTTAGCCCTAACACTGGGCAACAAAAAATATATGAGCAAGATAACTTACTAAAATAAAAACCTAAATATGTCTTTAATGATGTTTAAAAACTTAAAACTTTAAAAAATAAGGTCTAAAAAAATAGCATTAGTAATCAATAATTAATTTATATTATATAATAGAACTTACTGATATTATAATAACTTCATAAGTGTTAGTTATTGTCATCTCGCAACTGCAAGAGTACTTCACGTGCAATATGGCGGGTCCAAGTCCCGTTAGAATTTGTCACGATCTCTCAATATCTCCATTTAAATTGATGAAATTATGGTGTTATACCCTAGAATCATAATTACATATATTTTTTAACATTTCTTTTCATATACATTTGTTAAATGTCATCGTGTCTAAGCGTCCTTATTCTTAATACGTACAAAATGTCTGACACTGTCTTGTCTTCTTTAATAATAAATAATATATTTTTTAATAATAATCTCATTTTACCGACCAATATTTTTCGTGTTCTCTCCATTCTACGTGTCATTGGCGATTTAATCAATATTTAACAGGCATGCTTTTGAAGCCATTAATAAAAGAATTGAATTGAATAATATTTTTATTTATAATAATAAATTAATGATGACTCACATCCATATATCCAACGAAACCACAAATATTGAAACTAATCACAAACACACAATAAAACAAATTTGACAACACATTTGGCTCAGTTTGTAGTGACCCTAATTACTGTGCCAGCGGTCGCGGGTTCCAGTCCCGCTAGGGGCATTCATTTGTGTGATGAGCACGAATGTTTGTACTCTAGTCATGGGTGTTTATATATTTTATAATATGTATATATTTAGAGTTATATATGTGTAGTGTATCAACTATCTGGTATCCATAACGCAAGCCTCGTAGCTTACAATGGAACTATATGGTGATGTGTGTTTATGTCCCAATATATTTAAATATTTAAATGACATTATCTAAATCAACAGAGAACCCACTAAAGAAGAAGATACAGAGGAACCCGTGATCGTGCCGACGCTGCGGCCCGCGGGACCTTCGCGGGCCACCGTTGCTATACGCTAATACAAATTGACATACCTTTTATACGTCTTAGATACAACAAATTACAATTAAAATCGATAATACTTGATTTTGGGGCCGATTTATTTATGTAATTTTTCTTTATTAAAAAAAAGCGATCATGATTTTATTTCTCAATGAGAATTTCTTAATTTTTACATATTATTTAGTGCTATTTGAATGAATAATGTATTATATAAATTTAGATTATAATATTGTAACGCAATAGCCGTCTTCCGTTAAATATCGAAGCTTTAATCTAGACTTAACTGTATTCTACTAACTTCTAGACTTAAGAAAGGTGCTAAGTTTAAATTATTAAGTACTTAAAATCTAATATGCGAGTTTTATCTCAGGTAGGAGAAAGTTTTAATTAATTCAATTTATTTACTATTTCATATACATATATTCATATATCTCATGTATAAAATTTTATGATTTTGGTGATTATTTAAAATTGACATAACTTTTTTTATTTATGAACCGATTGAAATATAACAAATACTAAATGCAAGTGAAGCGTACCACAATACATTAGTGAAAACCGCACCCAAATCGATTAAGCCGTTTCTGAGGTTAGTGCACACAAACGCACAGACAAACAGATAATAAAATCGATAAATCATCGTTTTGGGTTAAAAAAGACCCCCAATAATAGTTTTTCTCAAATATCTTCCATGTCCAGACAGCGATCAGTTACAATTTTATTATTATGCACCTATAGATTATTACTACCCAACCCGAAAAACGTTGTCCTGTTCGAAATACAATAATATTTTGTGATTTTTGAATTCATACAAAAATTTTATAGAAAAAATAATATCAATTTCTACGATTTTTCCAATTTTCCGAACAAATTTTTTATTATAAAAATTAGCCAAATTGGTACTAAATTCATTTACTAACAAACAACATTCCGTTTTTATTTAAATTTGAAAAACAAACACAAATCCGTTCCATGAGAACCATACACTTTTCATGAATAAAAAAAGTATTTGCTATTCCAGATTATAATAATAATCTATCTCTGTGCCAAATTTCATCCAGATTCGTTCAGCCGTTCTGGCGTGAAAGAGTAACAAACATCCATACATACTCACGAACTTTCACATTTGTAATATTAATATGGATATGGAAATTTCAGGCCGGTGTTTTTAAATAAAATGTGATATAAAGACATAAATCATAATCTCCCCTAAAACTAATGGCATACAAAAGGGCGCCTCAAACCAGGACGAACGCGGCACAAATGACCGCTCGGCGGAAGTGGGTTACGAGCTCTACGTGATCGATGACTATAGTGTGGACACGCCTTAGCAAATACAATAACTTGTATGTTTGCTCTTCTGTTATATCTATACTTAATATTATAAAAGTGAAAGTGTGTTTGTTTGTCCTTCTTTCATGTCGAAACACTGTGACGGATTGGCGTGATTTTTTGTGTGGAGATGGTGAACGGTGGATGGCCGGAGAGAGACATAGGCTTTTTACCGTAGAAGATTACTCATTCCCACGGGGAAACGCGTTATAATACAACCCACAATAACTCATCATACCCATGTATACATATGATATATAATCTATTCTATATTAACCTTTGAAACATACCTATTTTATAAATGAAATTAGAGCCTAATAGTGCCATTCTGTACGAACTTTTATGTAATTCGACAACTGAATCCGCGGTCATACTTTGTATGACACCGAGAATTTAGCTGTCAAGTAACATATAAGTTTTTACAGAATAGCATTACAGGTAGATATCTTACTGGACCTCGAGAATTTTTATCCTAAATGTATATACTCGTAATTATCAAATTCTTTTAACTTAGAAGGCATATCTACATCAAAATCACTACAAACTTTTTACATGCTCTATTGACGTTTACTTATATCTTAAAACGTATATAGGACTTCTCTTGAATTCTTTTCTTTATAAAAATGCTGCTATTTTGAAGTTCAACAAAAATAAAAGGCACAAAGTCAAAAAAGTGCCAAAAAAGACATTATGGCGTATAGTATTCTACTATTAATAATTAAAAACCTTAATTTTCATAAAACTCGCATATTAAAATTAGAACCACATGTATAGTTATTTCTCTGTAACTTTACCTCTCCGGTGCAATACTAATGAAACATAAACATAATATAATTTCAAGACTTATATTTGACCATAAAATTCGGTGCTGAAATAAAAAAAAAGTATGAATGCTCAATTTTTTTTATTGTATCTAAACTGAAGAATAATATATTATATAATGTAAGAGCGAGTTTATATTAGACTTAGATTTTTTATAGAAAACGCCTCTTTTAATTAAATGATTTTTTTTTTTTTTTACTTTATTTTATTTCGTCTAATGTACACTCGCCTTAAGATTTATAGTAAGTTATCAAGTTAATGGAACGACATATTCATTAAGCGTAGCTCTGTAAATAGTTGAAGGTGCATGTAAATTTGTGAAATCGATAATCATACGAAATTATAATTATAGTAATAAAAATCTATATTTTAATTTGTATTTTATTAATACTTTTACCAACTTTTTACTTCTTGATACAGTGTACAGTAGGTCATATTCTCTTCATAGCACAGCCTCAAGGACAGCAACGACTAAACAGAGAGAACAGTCGATACTTATAAAAGCGTTATAATTTTGGCCTTACATATACAGTATTAAGGAATCCTCATTTTTGTTATACTTACCTCTTAATTAAACACCCCAAAAATATCATTTTCCATACAGCGACTCTATCTATTTTTTAAGGCTTGAAAAATTCCTTTTTCACTGCACATCGTTATTATAGGAATCAATTTTTTAATTTTTATCTAATTAGGTATCGCGTATCGCAAGCTTTTTTGTACGTTTGAATCATAGACATAGAAAATGTACAGAGTAATACTCTCATGAAAGAGATAATGCGAACGTGCGGCCAATAGATACCTGTGTTTTATACTAATTTGATTTTTTAAATGAAAATAAAAAAATGGATATATCTAAAACAGTGTAATAGAAAAAAAATTGTTATAAAAGTCAATCTTCAAATTAATCGTACCTCAATTTTTTTTTATTTTTTAATTTCAGTTTACGGATGGCAAAGAAACACTCAGTCCACTATGACCATGGTTTAAATTCACTAATTCTATAAAAATGTAAGTGATAGGACGATGTACCAGAATAAAACCTTTTTCTCATATCTTATGCTTTCTCACGTCAATCGTTTGCTCTGGGAAATAAAAAAAAAGATGAAACACACTGACAAAAAGAAATTTAACTTTATTAAGGTTTTTCTACTATACTTTTATAATAATGTATAGAATTCTAATAAAAAAAAACTTTTGAAAAGACTGTAAGTAAGGCAACAATTATTATTTAATCTACTTCACACATCATACAACTAAATATAGGTTATTAATGTAAATGAAGGAAAAATTACACTTCGTAGTACAAACAAAGAAACGAGGGTAATGGTCTAACATTGCCGGCATATTATGAAATCATAGAAAAATAAATAATGGCGTGTTGTGTACTTAATATTAATAGATATTTCGATATATTATTACTAAAAAAATATAGGTAATGCTATGTATGCAACCGTTCTACATTCTAATTATGTAATTTGAGAGATGCTTTGTACATTGCAAAAGATAATCCTTAAATAATTTTAAGAAACTATGAAGATAATTGTAAATATTATAAGAGTATTTTTTTAGAATCGTTCATAGGTGTCTTCGTATATACTGTATTGCAGGAGCTAGTGTCATCCACATATAATTGACTAGCATTGACAGACAGACAGACAAAAATTCTAAAAACTATAGATTCGGCCTCTGTATCGATAATAATCTCTATTTCAATAAGATTTTCCAAGAAATATTTAATGTACAGATTTGACTCAGTTAGAATTGTATTATATGTATAGATTATACTCGTATGTATAGATGACAGGTTTATGGCCACACAATGTTAATAGTACAGACTACAAGTAGCATTTAAAAAAATAACGGAAATGTGAAGAACTGTAACTGTGTGTATGTGTGTATGTGTATGTAGTTTAAACTTTTCAGAAGTAAGTATTTATTTGTCAATTTATTATTAGAATGATTTTTAACTTTGTATTTATTATTAAAAATATTATAAATACCTGGAACGAACTATTTAGTAAAAGAGGTTGTGTTAAGGGTGAGAATGAAGAGAGGCCCAGCAGTGGGCGGTTGAAAGATCTGAATTACTGTATATGTTTATGTGTTGGGCAGGGACCTTGTGCGGATTGACGAACTTCACATTTCTTTAGAAAACTTGCTACGTTCTTTCAGACATGGAAGTTTCCTTACTCTATATATAACATTCGTTGTCACACAAGTGGTAATCATGTTGGAAATTATTCGTACATAAAAATAACAGGGGTGCTAGACCATTAATTCGAACCCGCTTCACTCGATATCCCAAGCGAGCGAGTTACTACTGGTAACCTATTTAATATTTACATATTTAACATATACCATACCCATAAATAAAATAGAAGTCTATTTATGATTTTGAAACCCACACAACCTATCACAAGACCTGAATTTTCGACCAAAATAATTTCGACAAAACTGAACTGATTTTTCCCATTAAAATACCCAAGTGAGGAAGAATTTAGGTGATAATAACAGGCTGTTCTTATTAAAGCGCGGAACCCACATAGAATTGCGGGAACCGTAAGTTAATAAAATATAATTTAAGACTTTGTATGTATTTTACTGTAAGCGTAATGAATAAATATATTACACAATAGTAAGATATTGAGTAAGAAAATATAATAAAACTTGTTATAAGTATTACATTGTAAATCGAAGATATTAAATTTTTACAATTATCTTGTAGAGGCATGCGCACGGGAGCTTTAAGCTCAAACGGTTAGTTATTCAGTAGAGCAAATAGTGCTTAGTCGGCCAACACGTTAGTCACACAATACTTACGACGACATAAGGTAAACTTTTACAAAAGGAAAAGTTTAGACAAAGCTGAGCTAATTTATCGATACAGTGTTTACGAAAAATATGCTAAAAATATTTAAATGAACTAATAAATTGTCTCTGTTAAAAAATAAAAAGTATTTATAATTGATTTCTGTTATACAAATACAATTTAATGCAGTTTAGTTTCTAAAATGTACATTAAATAAAACAAAGTAAAACAAATCCCAATATTCGATTGCAATAATAATACTTTCCTACATATCCGTATAAAAGAAACGTCAAGCTGTTGCCTGAAATATCAGAAACGTATTCCGCACCACCGGTACTAACACCGGTGCCTTTTGAGAACAAACCGCGGATAGAAGTGACTCCACCCAGGATGGAAAAGCCGGACAGTGGTACACGAGAGGCGTTGGAGGATAGAGATCCTAATAAGCTAAACCAGCATATTCAGGTAGATATTACTAATCGTACTACTATTATGAATCTGAAAATTTGTATGTGTTTCTGTATGTTTATTACTCCTTAACGCTAGAACGGCTGGACGGATTTGGATGAAATTTTGTTTACAGATAGACCTGGAGTAGCTCATAAGCTTCTATCAGTAACAAATTATGCCAAAAAGCGGCGTTACCTGCATATAACATTATAAATTTATATAAAATAACATAATCTTCGTCATTTCTTTATAACTATTATAATTATATATAATTAACATACTAATTGTATAAATATGTCGAGAAATGTATATTTAAATCATAGCATTCCGTAGCATAGAAATAAATATAATAGAAGGTCGTACATGACGTGTGTATATAATTATTTTATGCCTCCATTTTATCGACTTTAGCTTTTATTTACAACAGTGTTTACTTTCTACGATACAATTGTCGATGACATTGTGTTGATATTGTAGAAAAAAGTCTGTTTTTGTATGCACAACAGTTAAAACACGATTTAAAACACAACAAAACGGTTATTATTTAAATTATATCTTAAAGTTAAAATATTATTTTATCAATTTAAAAATAAAATGAAGAGAAATAATATTCTGTTCAAGTATTTGGAAAATATAAATGCGTGTAATTTAGACCGTTTTCTTTTGCTGACATATTATATCGACGGGTGAAAGGCTATTTGGTTTAAGCGACATTTTCTTAACTTTACACGAGAGCCAATTTAATGATTTTTTTTACAGAACTAAGCATAGAGCCAATCAGTAATGTTTTAAACTAATTACAATATTTTACATATATTAATAGAATATTTATTACTGTGATAAATAAATAAATTATAATAAAATTTCATAGCTTTTATTATAATATAGAAATATATAATAAAGAAAATTAAATAAGCAAATATGCTATCTCCCTTCCAAAGGAAAGCGAACTGGTGCTTAAATAAGTACAAAAAAATATAATATTATTTTTTTTCTCCTCAAAAATTGTAAATTAACGACTGATAAGTATATGAAAACAATATGTATGACAAAATCGATAATACTAGCATAAACAGCTAAACCATGCTAGTGCTTTCGACTTAGATATTTATTTTGGCAGGCTCCATCTTATATACATAATTACATAATTCTTTAATCTGAAGAAAATAAATTAAAGTAATTATAGACTCAGTATCTAAATTTCGTCTAAAGTTCATTTAAACTATATATTAGAATTAATCCCTCCACGACGGACACGCCGGCGTTACAGTTAACAATATATTTCTTAAAAATTTAAATTATTTCTTAGAAATTTTCCTGGAGGTGTTGAAGTATAAACTAACTACCAAAAGTAAATACCTTATATATAAAAGTAAATATTACGTATGGCTTTATTATTATAATCTCACTATAATCCAATCTAATAATAATACATAAATTTTAATTTCAAGTAACCAACTCTACTACTCTCAAAAATAAAAATGCTTGAAAACCTAAACTATAAAAAATGTTACAAGTATATGATATTATTACTTACGTAAAAGCTAAAAATATTAAGCTTTACGTTATTCAATAGGAAGCCTGTAACGACGTCCGGCGAGACGTGGAGGCAATCAACATGATTTTCCGTATACATTTTGTGTAACTTATATAACTCTGTAGCTGAAATAAACACCAGCCAATACCGAAACGGCTTTTGGTATAGGTTCCGTATACGAAAGTAATGTAAGAAAATATAATAAATAAATTAAAAATATCTATATTTACTTGTAGCTATGGCAATTAGTTGTTTTTTAGGTCTTACTAACGTAAAGCATTAATCTAGATTATTTTGGTCTTATAAATAATAACGATGTCTTGCTTCACTGTAAGGCAAGTGGTAATCATGTTAGAAATGATTCGCAGATAAAAATATCAGTGGTGCGGGACCCGGGATTTGAACCCGCTTCACTCGGTTTCCCAAGCGAGCGCGTTACCACTGGGCTACCACTGCCACTATATAATATGTATGTATTTAAAGTTGTATAATATGTGAAGTGTATCGACTATCTGGTATCCATAACACAAGCTTCGTAGGTTACCATGGAACTAGATGATGCTGTGGGTTAATGTCCCGACATATTTATTTATCTATTTAGTGATACCACAGAAATCTTAATAATATCCTTATTATTAAGATTTCTGTGAGTGATACAGATCCCTAAAATATAAAACACGGTAGACGAAGAAAAGAAAATGGAAGTACACGGTGATCGCGTGACCAGCGCTGGTCAGCGCCGGGCGCCGCGCCCGTAATGAACGAAATTGTTTTCAGGCGAAACTTATCAGATACATGTTCTGTGTTATTCATAAAAGTTTATGAACTCTTTATTATGAATTTTCTTATTTGTAAAACTTTGAAGCTAGTTAACGAATAACAAAAGAAAATAGAGGAGAAAACTGAATAAATAGGAGCTTATATGTTTATTTATTTTTTCTTAATCTCAGCGCCTTCCTCATAAGATTAAGAAAGATTTTTCAATTTAAAATGCTTGAAATATATCAAAACAACCAGCCTTTTAGATGTCATGCTATCATTGTTGTTTGTTAACATAAAACAGTAATGGAAGAAACATCAGTAAGCTTTAGTAAATATAATCACACTAAAACTCTTTAACATAAAAAATTAATAAATAGAAAAAATCATTTAAATTCAACTAAAAACCAAATGTTTATATACTTATCTTCCATTGAAGATCGCATATCTATATATGCCTACTTGGCAAAGATAAAACAGTCCAGTAATTTGTTCTTGTCTGTTTGTTAACCGATTTTCTTCTTTTTTTTGCTTATTAGCTATAATTGACGAACTTTAGAGTTGTTAATAAAAATAATTTAGAAACAGTTGTTTCGTAGTTGTGTTCTTTGTTCAAGTTTCATCAAATGTTCAATAACGATTATTGTCGAATTTCGACCACTAGGCGAATACTAGTACACATAATCGATTTACAATTAGATTACCCGGTTATAATTATTATTAGGATTATAGATTATCGATTCTACCTGAACTTTGTAAAAAAATAATTGCAGTTATTCTTATTATTTTTTAAATAAAATAATGTTTTACTTTTACTTTGATTAAAATTTGATAACTTCAATATTTTCAATTTTTTCATTTCATTTCCAATTTAAAACGTACTTTTCTTACATGTCCCATCATTGGTTTCAGTATATTTTATATTAAATTGTTTACTTATACTAGTGTTCATCTAATTGTAAAGTAATTCCACAGATAGTATGGGATGACATAGTGGGCGAGCCAGAGGGCGCGAGGAGCCCGGAGTGCGCGTGGCGTCTCAGCCACATCTGCTTCCGGCATGCGAGGGACTGGTGCTACACGTTGCTGGCCGTGCTAGTGGCCCCGCCCTGCGCCCTAGTGTTGGGTTGTGGCTTCGCTTGCTTAGCTTTTGAGGTGACAATCCAATATCTTATAGTATAATGTGTGATATTATACTACTTGACGCTTTGTGTGGATTTTTGGAAGAGAAACTTACAAGTAAGTGTATCAAATTTGGAAGAAATTACACAGAGTAAGCCCAGCTCAGGATAAGGTATATTTCTCTTTAGTCCACTAATCTTTACGTATTTACCTTTCATATTATGTAAAATAAAAAGTAAAATATGTGTTTCTTTCCAATTTTCATAAATTTTTTCAAGGTACAATTTCGAAATTTTGGCAATTCCTAAATAAATAATTAGCGGTTGGTCGGTTTTGATTGGAGACATTTTTAAAATATAAAATATCCTCTAGACTGATTTAGGCCATAGCGGTCAACGTTATAGAGAGTAGCCATGTAGGCAGAAGATAGTAGCACTATTGTGCACAAGTGCATGCTAAAACAAAAGTGCACTCTCTAATCTTTTAACTCCGATTGGACGACACTTCAACGGCTTTACCTGATTTCTCCAAGGCACAGACAGACAGTGTAATAGCACCACCTTTTTAATTCCGGGCCGCTACTGCGAATTTCTCAATTGATAAACTTAACAACTATATTTCATCTGGAGAAATAAATTAAGTAAATAATATAATTTCTGTTTCTAGCAAATATGGTGTTCGACACCATGTCTGAGATGCCTGAAGATTTACTGGGCATCTCTCCGCACTCTGGTACAGTCGTGTATGGTGGCCACTGTTGCGCCCGCCATGGAAGCAGTTGGTCACGTATGTCGTCACATCAGAATTAATGTACGACGAGACGCGCCAGAGGATCGGGATTTGTTAATCATTTAATTTATTTTACATTGTTCTGGAAGATTCTTTCAAGCCTGCATCAATACAACTAGCTCTTTGTAGCATTATTTATATATGTATGAGAATCGGAACCACACTTCCAAAAGGGCCATAATTTTATTTTTTTACTAATCTATTTAAAGTTTATATAAACATGATTTAACATCAATGTTTGAGAGTTACAGCTATTTAAATACACTTTTAACTCTTCTTAATAATTATTATTATAACAAATTTATATAGGAAATTATATTTATTATGTTAGAAAAATTGATATAAACATAGGCTTTCGAAATAATTTAGACAACACAATTTATACCACAAGTGCCTTTGTAAAGTATTCGGTAAATTAATTAATTATTTATTATTTTTAAAGTAAATTATAGTGCACAAAAATACTCACTAAACGTCTGAAAGTCCTCCTTGCACATACATACCCAGTTTGGGCACAAGAATGATCACTTGTTCACACTACCATATTTTTACGTTAGAAGCTAAACAAATTTTAATTTTAACATATTATATTTAGAATAAATAAAAAAATATTTAATATAAATTATTTACCTTATTTATATTTTAATAAGAAATTAAATTTAAAAAGGAGTATTGTTCATCAGTATAATTTTTTTGTTAGGAATAGGCTTATAATCATACAGCCACGATATTTTTATAACATTATTTTATTATAAAACAGTTATCATTTAAATATAAAATAAAAAATATATTACGTCAATATATACTATAAAATACAAAATAAATAAAATATTGATATTTTATTAGACTTATTTTACAACACCTTACCTAGTAAAAAAATAAAAATAATGCATTGTGTATTTGGGCGGGAATTTAATACTCTAGCCTAGGTCATATTTTCGCCTTTTTGCTTTAAAATATTTGACAAGGGGTTTTTGTTTTATTATTTATTACAAAGACTAAAATTTAATAAAAATACACAAATAGTTGTTCCATAAAATTAACGAACAAAATGAACAGTGATGAAACTCCATCTGTTGTACGTTGGACTACAAGCGATAACCAAAGCGCTGGGAACTCAAAGGATAGTCACTTTGTAATTGCAAAATGCAAAAGGTTATATATAGCATTTTTTTATTACAAGTAGTGCCGATAAAATTTCCTATCGACAATATAAGTACTACCGTAAAAATATTTTTTATATAATAAATAATAATTTTAACGTTACAAATGCAACAACTTCCGATAAACTTTCCTTTTTGAAAGAAAATTTATACTGTTGTGTATTATTTAGTGATTCTGTGAATAAATTTTCACAGATTTTTGAATAATTATTTAATATTAAAAAAGTGAAACATTATTGAATTTATTTATATTATTTTTTCTTTTAAAACTACATTGTACCTACAAGCTTAAATATTTACTGTTTAATGTTTAACTCTGGCGATACTGATAAAGGTCAGATAGCTATGAATCAAAATTATTATGTTGTTGACGTGTCCCATAGAACTTTATAGTACAATCTAGCTATCACAATGCAAGTTATAATACAATTTATAATATATTTTAACAGATATTTTTTACTTTATACTACGTCATAGAGTGTAAATAAATTAATGTCAATATAATTTTACACAGAAATACTAGACCAATTTTAACTAAAAATACTACTGATAATCAAGAGAGCGAGGAGTCAGAAAATGAAGAGGTAAGTGATATACAATATATCGAATAAAAAAATATTGTTTAATTTATTTTGCAAAATGTTTCTAACTTCCTATCTCGGCGTTATACACACCGCCGACTTTCTAACTTCGGGCTGCTTGGGAATAATTAGACAGAGTGTAATAGAACTAAACATGATTCCAACCAATAATGTTTTAAAATCCATACTTTAACACCTCTAGGTAAATTTCAAAGAAATTAATTAAAATTCTAAGAAATCTATTGATAACTGACACGCCGGAGTGTCCGCGGTCGTGGAGGGAATAAACAGCAAATCACGCTACTATTTTTGACTTTTGCATTTATTTTGTCGGACTCCGTCTATATAATTCTTCAGTCTGAGTTCGTAAAAGTGCAGTTACTTATAAACCAACTCGGGACTCGAACTCAGGACCTTCACATCGCCACTCGCCAGCCGCGCATGTTAGCCTAATGAAGCATTCAAAAAAAATTTTTTGCCTATATCCTAAGCCCGAGTCTTATTAAGAGTTTTAATTAGCCTTACGTGACATATTTAATTAACAAGCAAATACAACACGAACACTAAAAATTATACATTTTGTAAGTTATCAAGATTTTTCGTTTGAAAATGACCTGAAATGACCCGTTTTGGAAAGTCACGCAAATCGTGAGATTAAACATCTAAGTTAATAAATAATAACAATATTTGATTTAACTAAGATATTCTCCAAATATATTCCAAAGAGTACCTAATGCTAATAACTTCTAATACTATAACATCTATACATATAATAAAATTCTGAATCGAATCTGTACATTAAATATTTTTTGGAAAATCTTATTGAAGTAGTCATTATAAATTATAATCGATGCAGAGATCAAATCTATAGTTTTTAGAAGTGTCTATCTGTAATCGCATCACGAGAAAACCACTGGACAGATTTTCATGAAATTTGGTATGATGATAGCTGGTTATCCGGGTTAACATACAGGATACATTTTCAATTTACAGGATTTTACTGCGGTAATAATTAATTAATAATAAATAATCATTATTAATAATTTATTTCATTGATTTTCAAATATTTTTATATTTTAGAAATTTTTTTTTTATTTCATAAAAAAACAACTTAATATTCTTTATCATATACAGCGTCTTCTGGCAGTGTACTGTAAAGCGGGAAAACTAGGGGCAGCTTGCTACACTCTCCAAACTGGCGAAGTTAGTACATATTTTATTAGGCTAATTAACGTGCTTTTGTTAATTCCTAAGTAATTAATTACATAATATATTCTATTTCTTTATTTATCAATTGATTTAATAGCGGATCTCTTAAATGGCTTTATAGAGTATATTAATATTATAAAAAGGCAGAGTTTGTTTGTTTGAATGCGCTAATCTCAGGAACTACTAATCCGATTTGATTTTTTTTTTATTTTTTGCATTGGATAGCCCATTTTTTGAGGAAGGCTATTCCGTACTAAAAAAATTAAAGCTAAAATAATTGAATTGGTTTAAATAGCAAAATCCAGTAAATTTCCCAAGCTTAGTTTTAAATCATTACGTACATATTTTTCGGGTTCCGTATGCCATGTAGCAATCTAGTCGGAATCTTATTACTGAGCCTAACAAAAACCACTAGTTAGTCTGTCTGGCCTTTAATAAAAAAAAATCGTGTTTATATATGAATACAGTTACAAATCTTAGAAGAGATAGTGGACCGTCCACCGGAACACCAGATATTTGTATCACTATTTAACCAAATAGAGCCCGCTAGAATTATTTTGGATGGAAAGTCACAGGGGACTTTCATTAGCGCTGTAAAGAAAATTCTTTTCAATGACGACTTAAATGAAGGGAGATGTAAACTAACATTTGTGTCTGCCAAAGAATATAGTGAGTACAATACATTCGTTTTCATTGCTATTTTCAGGATTTTGAACGACCGTAATAATTATTTAATATTAGCGTTTTTACTAAAAAAAACTCATCTAATATGAGTTTTCCAAATATAATATTAAATAGCATTATGTTAAAAAAACAAATAAATAATGTCTTGAGTAATGTAGATATAGTAGATACTATAACTATTAGTATATACTTGATGACACGTTTGGCTCAGTTTGTTTGACCCTACTTGCTGTATCAGTGGTCGTGGGTTCGAGTCCCGCTGAGGGCATTCATTTATGTGATGAGCACGAATGTTTGCACTCCAGTAATGGGTGTTTATATTTATAATATGTATGTATTAATGCCTCAGTGGTGTAGTGGCTAGCATGTACGGCTGCACACCCGGAGGTCCTGGTTTCGAGTCCCGGGTCGGGCCAAGTTTAGTTATTGCTTCTTTCTGTATAGTAAGTCTCAGTAACAGCACGGAGTTGGGAAGTTGGTGGTTTCAACCCCGTGCCTCGGAGAGCACGTAAAGCCGTCGGTCCTGCGCCTTAACTCTCACCGGTCGTGTCTCGCGTCGTCCCACCGGAGTATGAGAGTGACAGGAATAGAGAGTGCACTTGTGTCTGCGCGTACACTTGAGCACTATAATATCTCCTGCGCAGTTGGCTAATCTCAATGAGATTGGCCGCCGTGGCCGGAATCGGCTAGGAGAACATCATGTATGTATTTTAAGTTATGTATGTGTAGTGTATCAACTATCCGGTATACATAACACAGGACTCGTAGCTTACCATGGAACTAGATGGTGCTGAGTGTTAATATCCCAACATATTTATACGCTTAATATTAACAAAGTATTGGGAGTTATTATAATGTTCTACATACTCTACATTGTCTTTTTTACATTTAAAAGATTTCGAAGCATGCAAGAGACGTATTCATTCCCTTTCTCTACCCCATGAACCATGTGAGTGTTCAGACGAGGAACGTTTAGTGTTCCTCCGCACTGTGGTGGACTTCACCCAAACACAAACAGTACATGCCTTAGGAGCTATGCTTAGATACTTGGACCTAAATTGGTCCAACTTATGCATGGATTTGCACGGAAAACCACAATTTTTGAGTTTAAAAAGAATATCACTGTAAGTAACATATATATGTATAAGTAAATAAATAAACTTCTTTCGAAAACTAATTCGACAGTATCCATTCTATAATAATACTGACTACAATAGCTATAATAGATACATATGTATTGTATCTCAATCCCCTAAGTTATTTAACTTGAATTGCGATACAATGAAAAAGAAATATTAAGTATAATAATCTTCTTAAATTTGAAAGAAATAAATCTCCATCATCTATTGCATTGCTTAAAAAAACTAAATGCACAAATACATACCAATCATATCGTTTTTATTTTTATACTAATGACTCACCCTCGCTCCGCTTGGGTTTGTCCCTACTTACGTTTTAACGTTTAGTATAGTAGATTTCTCCGAGATGAGATATTTTCCCGCAGTAAAAACTATCCTATATGTTGACCCGTATAACCAGCTATCATCATACCAAATTTCATCAAAATCTGTCCAGAGATTTACTCGTGATGCGTCCCCAAACAGATAGACAGAAAAACATTCTAAAAACTATACATAGATTCGGCCTCTGTATCGATAATAATGACTGGATTCAATAAGATTTTCCAAAAAATATTTAATGTACAGATTCGACTCAGTTAGAACTTTATTATATGTATAGATATAGAGAATACTAAGAAACTAGACATATATTATACAAAAGTTGTCTTAAATAACATATCGCATTTTCTTTAGAAATGATATAGTAGCGATGGATGAAGACACATACCGCGGCTTACAAATATTTAGTTCTTTATCGCATCCGAGCGGGTTTAAAAAGGGAGTGCAAGGAAGCAACAAGGAGGGTCTGAGTTTATTCCAACTTCTTAGCAAATGCTCTTCTAAAGTTGGTCATCGACGAATGAGGTAAAAATAATATTTGAACTGCGTGTTTCGGTGTATCTAATAATCCTTGGGCATTACGGATAAAATATTAATATATTTTTTTTTGTAATTTTAGAAAGTACTCGTAGTATGCTAATTCTTATATTTACGCGAATATTAGACATTTGACATAAAAACTATACTTTTTACGCGGATTTATTTTGATTTTTGGTATTTTATTGAACATTACAGACTTTTTCCAAAAATACTAGAAAAATAACTTTATCGAAAATCTTAATAATATATGTACTTATATACTATATGTTAATATATATGTATACTTTTTGTTATAAGAACTTTACTCCGCCATCCAACAAAAGACATAGAGACGCTACGGCGTAGACAAGAAGTGATAGCGTACTTTATGCGGCCGCAGAGCGACTCCATCATGAGGAACATCTGTTCGTCCCTCAGATTTGTTAAGAATGTTAATGTAAGATAATTTGCTTATTTTCTTAATAATATCCCACTTTTGCCTTTTGGTTTTTACTCATATCCTCTCAATGGAACTACTCGATATTCGATAATATAACTTTGAAATTAAATTTCAAAGCTTTTACTTTGTTTATAACACGGATCAGTAGTATTGGAGTTTTATTTATACTTTCAAACTTAGAAACATTCAATATATTATTATAGATTTTTATAATCGTACTAACTAAAAAGTTCATAATAGTTTACCTAAATTTACTTTAGTTTCTAATAATATACATAATACTATAAATGTGACAGCGTGTTTATTTATTTGTTTCTCCTTCTTTCACGTCGAAACAGAGTGATGAATTGGCGAGATTTTGTGAAGATAGTTGGAGGGTCAGAGAGTGACATAGGCTTACTTTTTACCGCGGGAGATTTTCTTATTCCCACGGGGAAACACGTTATAACACAACCCAAAAAATTATTAATGATCAGAATTACATAAAACTTGGTATTAATGCTTTTCAATACAATTAAATAAAAAACGTGTTTTAGCATTTTTGAAATTTCATCCCATAAGGGAGTAAAATAGGGAATAAAAGTTTGTATGGAAATTACCTTTTTAGAGCTTTTTTTTCGTAGTTTTAGTGCGAGCGAAGCCGCGGGTTCTGCTAGATATGATATTATTATGTATTATATTTAAAAAAATAAGTTTGAAAAAAAATCATGGTGGGATAAGATATATCCATTGTGAATGTTTCTGTAAACTAATTTTCACCCAAATCCATCAAGCCGTTTCAAATTGAAGCAGTAACAAACATACACACAAATAAATGCAGTAGTGTTATTAAAGAGTTTGATTCTCGTGCGAACGACTCTATATGACGTTAAAATTGAAAAAAAATGAAATATTGTACAAATTATTCAAAATAGATATATAAATAAATGTGAAAGTTTAGATAGATGTTTGGATATTTGTTACTCAATCACGCCAGAATGGCTGAATAAATCTAGATGAAATTTTGGCACATAGATAGATTATAGTCTGGAATAGCACATAAGCTACTTTTTATCTCGGAAAAATGTACAGTGGGATAGATTTGTTTTTCATTTTGATATATTTTTTTTAAATTATTAAATATTGTTTGTAGGGAATACTCATAAAAATTAAAGCGTTATCGGCAAAAGCTTACCAATGGAAATCCTTATATAACGTAAGTATCTTCAATTCAATCAACACATTCAATTCAATATACATCCAAATAGTATGAAAATACAAATTTTAATGAAGAAAAAAACAATTTCAAAAACAGACCCTCTACAACGTAGTGCTTATTTGTGAAATGTGCGAAAACACCGGACAGGCTTGCGAATATTTGGTCGACTTAGCCACTTACGATACGAACAAATTATATGAAGTAAGAATTCTAATTTAATTATTTAAATAAACATTTTTGAAGTAAATCTTCTTTAGAATCGTTGTGATTTGAAACTCTATGAAACAAAAATGCGATACTAAAAAGAGGCATAAATATATATATAAATATATAACACATAAATATATAGGATTAAGCCGGCAAGAGAATAAGATAGAATAAATTGCCATGTTGCCATGGTACGGTTACCATACCATGTTATTGTCGGAAAAATATAAAATATTATATTCTTGCCGTATATGATATTCTATAGATATATGATTGTAATATGCTTAATATGCCTTATTTAATTATTGATTTAATTGTGATATTTGCCAAAGAAGTTTTACTTCAACCGCGTGTAAAGGTTACTTACACAGAACATAGACACAGAAATATCTTTTAAACATATAAGATGCTTATATTTTTGTAATAGCCTCTTAAAACCGTATTTTGATACCCCACTCAATTGATTTGGATGAAAAAAAAAATTCAAGACTCATAAATTTGCTTGATCTAAGGAGATCCGCCATTTTAGTAATTTTAGTAGAATAAAAATAAATATCAAGACAAATCGAACCACATATGAATCATCAAAATCGGTTAAGCCGTTCAGTAATTAGGAGGGAACATAGGATCGGACATACATACATACAGGTCAAACACATAACCCAGTCGGGTAAAAATGGTGAAGTCGGTACTTATGTCTTATAGCTAACAAATTATAATTATTATAATATTCTAAACATATTTTGTACAGATGGCTTTATATATGAATAGAATAGTGGACTTCGAGCTATCTAAAACTGAAGGGAAATTCACTGTTAAAGTAGGAGTTGATCCAGATCTTGATATGAGTGAGTTTCATTGTTACTACTTGTATGTGTCAATTTTTTATTTTGCATAATTTTGGAAGAAGAAAATGTCTTAAATAGAACGTAAATATAAAAAAAAATGAATTTAAACAAAGTTTTTGTTCATTAGAAAAAACAACATTCTTTTCGTCATATTCATCTAAGATGCCTTTGTATAAAAATAATATTTATATATTTTTTTTTATATAAATGTTAAATTATAAATATATTTTTTTCCGAATGCGTAAAATTTTTTTTTTTTTAATTTGCTAAACTTTAAGTAATGAACTTTCATAATTTATTGAAAAAATGAAACAGAAAAAAATAATTTAGAACTGTTTAATGGATTATTATTAATACTTTTTTTTCAATAATTAAGAAAAGCAAACAATGGCCAGTCTGCACGGTCTTATGTCAGAGACGGCTAAAGTAGAGTTAGAGCGTTTACCGACTTTCATAGAGGAGTGTACGATGCTGTACATGCCTCACTTGGGCTACTTGCTGGGGGTGAAGGCATGGGAGGAGAATCTTACTATGAAACAGAAAGAACTACCCGACATGAGATTTATGGTGAGATAATAATTTCAAAAAAATGTAAAAAAAAAATTAAGTATGTTTTAAAAAAACTAAAAAATTGCTTTGTTTTTGATCGGATATTACTTTAAATCAAACTTATAATTTCAAGAAAGTATTTTTAAGAAAGTATTTAATTTCAAGTAACTTTATTTAATATTAATGACTTTAGTGTTGACTGATCTATTAATCCCGCCACGGCCGTGGACACGCTGGTGTGTCAGTTAACAATAGATTTCTTAGAATTTTAATTAATTTCTTAAAAATTTAGATGGAGGTGTTAAAAACATTAATTGTATTATGAACATTATTTCAGTTTCAAAACAACGATTACATACATTACAAAAGTAAGGGATGCGAAGGTAATAGTTATAATTTTCTAAACTAATTAATAATAAATGACGTAATTAATATTCAAAACAAATTAAATACACAACTGAAATAAGAAGCTCTCTTTTTTGTGCTCCTTACTCTAGGGTGCCAAAGGAACCCTATTACTAAGCCTCTGCTGTCTATCCGTCTGTCAGAGGGCAATATCTCATGAACCGTAATATGTAGAGAGTTGAAATTTTCACAGAGTATGTATGTCTATTGCCGCTATAATAACAATAAAAAAAAAATAAAAAAATAAAAATACAAAATACATTTATTTACCGTTCGTAATCGATCATAGAAGTTAATATACTACATACATAGAGCGAAAGTCGTAATAATAAAAAGTACATGTACCATGGTACGGAACCTTTCGTGTGCGAATTCGACTCGCACTTGACCGACTTTATTGTAGTCGTTTTCATTGTCTGCACTTGACTCCAAATTAGATCATAAAAATTATCACGTGTACTAGGGTATCATAAGCATCAAGTAACATATTAAATTGTGCATGTTGATGCCCATCGAAGAAAGCCATGCGCAGAATGCACAAATTCCTTACAACATACCGTTTAAATATTCCACTTGTTTTAAATATACCGAGTATAGCGAGCGTATAATATGGGACTTTTTTCCATAAAATGGCGGAACGTTGACACTTGAATTGTCAAGTGTCGAAATTCCGCCATTTTTGGAGGCATTGGCCTGCCATAAAGATTCTATCCCATCATACAATTAATTACTCATATTTTATATGTAAAGTGACCTACGACTAGACACTACGATTATCTCTATTTAACCGGTTAATACCTTATCTACATCGTGTCTTCTCCATTATACACGACATTGGCCAAGTAATCTGTGCCCAACTGGCACGCCTAAAAGTCAAATAACAAAGAATTGAATTGAAGATTCTATCCCCTTTATTCAGAACTGGACATGATGATAGGCGACACATACCCAGAGATAGTCGCGCACGAGACGCGCATCATGATGCGTCTCGCGGCCATACTGATGGAGAACTTACACACGCTAGCTACTGTCACAGATAAATGCGCCGAATTGGACTGGTATTTTGTTATTAACAATATTTTAATTTTATTTTATAGCAATATAATACCATAGTAGGTACTTAGTTTAATTTTTTTTAAATCAAAAAAACGGTCAGTTAACATAATTATGAATTTACTTTATTGAATAATAAAATATCATAAATAATTCCGATATTAAAATATATAAGCATTATAAAATGGACACCTAATATATATGTTTCATCCATTAAAACGTTCTATAAATGATCAATACCATAATATTGAAATAATTTTAATAAGTATGTAAGCTATCAGTAATTTATTTAGTAATAATATTTCCAGCTTAATAACGATATCAAAACTTTGTAAAGAATTCAATTATGTCCAACCAACATTAACTATGGAAAAGATAATAAACATAAAACAAGGCAAGCATCCTTTATACATAGCGACTACAGATAACTTTGTGCCTAACGACGTCGAGAGCAGTCGGGAGGCGGGGTATGTTAAGATACTGACTGGACCAAACTCTAGCGGCAAATCCGTTTATATGAAACAAATAGGTAGGTCCATACTTATATTTGTTTAAATATACATAGTATAAAAACTTATATCGTACTTCTGGTTGTTCATATAGGTATCTTGAAAATCACTGAACATATTTTGATTCATTTTTTACAAATTTAAAATCTTACATTAATCCAGTACATTATTAGAAACATTCGTATTAACGACCTTTCCGTATTACGTCCCACTGCTGGGCTTGCACCTCCCCTCAAGCGAGGGGTCAAAGCCCATCACACTGGCCAAGTGCGGGTTGGCAGGCTTCATGTCTTTCGGAAACTTGCTAGGTTCTGTCAGACATGCAGATTTCCTCACGATGTTTTCCTTTACCGTAAGATGAGTGGTAATCATGTTGGAGATGATTAGGATATGAAAATATCAGAGGTGCAAGATCCAGGGTTCAAATTCGTTTCACTTTGTTTTCCAAGCGACTACCTTACCACTAAGATACCACTGCCTATTACATGTCTCATACTTACCGCCGCCTTAGTGCTTATTTTTTCAACAATCAATGCTTGTTTTTCTTTCTAGTTTAGTTTTTTCTTATATTTTAAAAACAAAGCTTTATTTAATTTAGTTAAATTTAAAATGTATATTTTATACCAATAGAAATAACATTCAAAAGTTAATAATTCTGTACTAAAAACTCCTTCGGTAACTTAGTCGTTTGGACAGATAAGCACTGAGACGATACATTTACTATGAGATAATTTATAATGTAATGAAACAAATAATAGACTTTAACATTGGTTAGGTCTAATAGTATACCTAGCGCATATAGGCAGCTTCGTGCCCGCCGAAGCGGCCACCGTAGGCGTCGTGAGCCACATCTACTCCCGCATACAGTCCACTGAGTGCATCGCCTCGCACATGTCCGCTTTCCTCATTGATTTAAGACAGGTAATGTAAATAAAAGTCTTTAAGCATTCATATTGACTGGCAAATGTTTGATCTAAAACGGGGTATTTATGTATTAATGTGACCATGGCGCTTGTAAGTGTCGAAAAATCGGGAACTTATGTAAGTGAAAAACATTATTAATATTCTATGGAAATCTTTAATATGCAGCGATAAAAGTAAACTATGTCGAGCTCTGATTCATACGTTTATATAAAATTTCCTTTAAAACAATAATTTCAACACTCGTCGAATAGTAAGAAGTCGAATCTAACGACGTATGAATCATTAAAATCGGTTAAGCCGTTTAGTAATTGCGAGGAAACGTAGGATCGGGCATACACATACATACAGGTCAAACACATTACCCTCCCGTTAGTTTCGTCGCAGCCAGGTAAAAACTAAAAGCATCTAAGTATTAAATAGCTATAGCATGATATGAAACCCTGAAAACCGATATTACAACTAAAAACTTTTCCAATTATTCAAAGGCGTTACTCTACAAAAGTCACGGAATCATTCTAACAGGACAAATTTAAAGTTTCATAATTTTTTCATTTGTTGAGATATTTTAATAATTCTTTTATATGTTTGTTATATTTTACTTCTCCATTCTTTAGTCAATTTTTTATGAAAATAACTGTCAATCTGTTACCATGTTACGCTTAAACCTTTGAACAGATTTCAATAAAATTTAGCAAAGATATAGTCTACATCCTTGTTAAATTTTATTATTATATAGATTACATTATCAGGACGGACATAGACCCTTTATCCCAATCCCATTCACCATATGAATTAAGCGAGGAAAAACTAGAATCTAATATATTCAACTACTAACATTATCTATGGTTCCCTAGTAATTCAAATATGGTATTCTCTATGGGTCCCTAGAAATGTATATAAATTATAACATTTAATATCAATGCAAGATGGCGTTAGCTCTCCAAGAGTCTACCACCAACTCCTTAGTGCTAGTGGACGAGTTCGGCAAAGGCACGCCGGGCGCGGACGGCCTGGCGCTGCTCGCCGCCGGCCTCAACACGCTGCTGTTCCGCGCCGGGGACTGCCCCCACGTGCTGTTGGCCACACATTTCTTAAAAATTAAGGACTTTATCGTTGATACGCCCATTGTTAGGTTTTTGGTAAGATATTGTTATTCTATATATATGTTATTGTATATGTGAACTTAATTAGTTTTCACTAAACTCACATCATCGTCCGAGTTAAAAAGTTTAAAAAATTGCGTTAATTAGGGATATAAGCTGTCTTAGGTATGTCCATTTAAGTTTCACTTAAATCCGTCGTCCTTACAGCGTGAAAAAGTAACAAACAGACACACGTTCTGATCCATAATAAATAATCATATTATAATGTGATTTTACAATCATAAACTTCAATTCAATTTATTAATTGTTTTCTCGTTATGGCTTCAAGAGAATAAACTTGTACCTAAATTATTATTTTTGATTTTGGCGACCTCCGTCTATATAATTCATGAAAGATATATGGACGATTCCTTTCTAGCTTATTTTCTATCTATGTTCAATGATTTTTGTTCTGTGGCTTGTAGGCGTGCCATTTGGGAATTTACTTCGCCAATGTCGTGTATTTTCTATCTAACTTCTATTAAATCTTTATGACATTGTCAACATTCCGCCATTATTATTTTTTTAATTTATGACCCAAACATAAACAAATATATCAACAATATCACATGCAGTGCTGTAAGATTCCAAAATATTTTGAGGCTTATGTGAACTACTATTCGTACAGGTTTAATTATGTGTTGCTACTTTGAAAAAAAATGGCGGCTTCCATAGAAAAATATTGAAACACCATTACGTTCAAACTTCTATTAGGAAGTCTCTTTTCCTTTTCCACAAATACCATTTTAACAGAAATTCGAGCATATGATGGACAATGGCGAGCCGGTATTTCTATTCCGCGTGTCAGCGGGCAGCGCGGGCGCCGGCCTGGCGCGCGCCGTGGCGGCCGCCAGCGGCGTGAGCGCTGCCGTCGTGGACAGGGCTGGCGCCGTGTTGGAGGCCATGATGGTACTATTATAGTTCTAGATTTTTTTATAATTTATATCTATACTAATATTACTAGCGACTCCCTTTCGTTCGTCCCTAGGTTGATTCCCCATACAAACTTTCATCCCAATTTTCACCCCCTTAAGGGAAGATTTCCGGGATAAAAAGTATCCTTTCCAGGGTCTCAAACTATCTCCTTACCAAATTTCATCTAAATCGGTTCAGTAGATCCAGAGATTACCCCCTACAACGTCACAAACTCACAAACGACCGTTTAAAAGTCAAAAAAACAGATGGTTAATAAATTAATCTTTTGTTTTCTTTGTATTTATATATATATATATATATTATATATATATATATATATATATATATATATATATATATATATATATATATTTCAATTATTTATTTTCATTCTACTGGTTTCAGAACAACACTCTACCTTCGCCAAACAAAAACATAACAACAAAATTAAAAAACATAACGGATATAATAAAAGCCGAACTTCTTGCAGAAAAAATTTAATATTATAAAATTCATTTATTAAACATGATATCCATTGCTTAGCCCGCAACATTATTATATAATTTAATTTATGTAAAAATATTAACTTACAACTAAACAATAATTTTCTATAAACTTTTTTTATCTGTCAAAAACAACGTTGCCTATATTTTCAAAAATGGAATGCCTCTTTTACATAAATACAATATTTGTGACGTTTAAATTTGACATATTTTATTGGTTTTCGCCAATAACAATTTCACTCATTACAAATACACTAAAATTGTACGTCTTAATATAATAAAATTAAATAATAAATTAGAGTTCATAAAGTTTGTTTTTCATTTTCAATTCAACTTTTATCTTTATGTATTCGACAAATTAACACAAATTGAGAATCAAAAGAAATAGAACAATATGGCGATTCGAAAATAAAAAACATTCAATATATTCCTATAAATTCCACAACAAGCACATATCTTCTCTATATAAAGCAATATACTTCCGTCTGTATGTAATTGGAACATTTGGACGGGTATGTTCTTTTTTATGTTATGCCACTTTCGAATATATGAAATGCGAGGCACAACATTGTAACCGTGTTTTGTGGCAATTTCGAATTAGGACTTTTTTAATTACCACAATACTGAGTTACAATACTGTTCCTAGCAGGTGTAGATATGTTCGGTAACATTTACCAATACGACAATCACATACAATGCTCTAGCGGCCTTAACGCACATAACACCCTAAGTATAGCAGCTAGAGCGCGATTAAAACTATATACTACATATATTTAAAAAAAATATATATTTATAATTACCTATATTATAAAAAAACCATTAAAGTTGATATTTCTGTTTTTTTTTCTAAATTATCTCACTTCAGTTGACGCACTACAAGAATCCTTTAAAGAGATCTAATTTTATTTTATTGATTCCAAAGAACAGTAAATAGTAAAAATATAAAACAGATCATAATAAAAAAATGTTTCACGTACGAACAATAAAAAATAATAAGCACCGTTACTAGCACGCCGATATAATAGAAGCGTTTACGTAATTGAAATATAATTTGAGCCTACAATATACATAATCTATACATACAGATACATATATAAAATTGAAGTGTCTGTAATGTCAAAATAGCAGCTTTTTAATAAATAAATTATATACGGTACTTATAAGAAAAACACATTTTTTAAATTTTTGTCGTCTATTCCAGCTAATCTCCAAAACGGCTGGACTGATTTTGACAGGACTTTCACTGGCTGGTATAAGCAGTAACTTAGGCTACTTTAATTTTAGAAAAAGAATTAGGGTTCCACTCAAAAAAAATTAAACTATAATTATAATTTAAGAAAAGAATATAATTTAAATCCCAACGAGAGAGCATACAGTACATATTATATAGTTCCCAATACAACACTTCATCCGTTAAATTACATCTATGAATTAAATTAACCGCACTCGAGCCGCCAACACACAGCTGTAAAGCTATACAATATCAAATCGTCAGTGTAAAACTGGCCTTACTCATAATTTCGAAATTATCCTAAAAATAGTTAACTCTAATATGAATAAGCATTTTCATTACTTTATCTGATAAAATAATATTTAAATTTTGATAACACATTACGCATAATATGTAAATTAAATTAAATTCCTTAAAAGAGAAGGGCTTCTTAAATAATTTGGATAATATTTTGAAACAACTTAAAAAAAATTTGTTGAAGCGTCAATAGTAAAATGATCCCACAAACTAACAGTATTAGCTATCCAAAAAGAACAAAACAAAAAAAAAACAAATTTTTCATCAAATCAATTCTCAATATCCCCATACAAATTCAGAGTTAGGCCACTTTTACACTGTCACCACAATGTATATGTGCACATACATACATACATGTGTCTATATTTACATGGACTTCATTTGCTGCATGAGCTCCTCGAGGGAGAGCTCGGAGGCGGCCACGGCGCCGCCCGTGCTCGACTCCGGCGTGCTGTTGTCCACGGGCACGCTGTATGCCACCTACAATACCAACAATACATTCGGTTTAGAATGACATCTATACGTCTATACATAATATTATAAAGAGGCATGTGTGTTTGTTTGAACCCGCTAATCTTAGGAACTACTAATCCGATTTGAAAAATTATTTTTGCATTTGTGTTTATTGAGGAAGGCTATATATATCATCATGCTACTATACAAGGGATCGGAGCAGTAATCATAAATATCAACAAATCAGGCAGAATTCCGTACATTATTGTAAAACTATTGTTTATAATCAAACAAATTTAACGCGGGTGAAACCGCGGGGCACAGCTAATCTGAGATAATAGTAGATTTCGATCACGCCGACCAATCTCACTCAGACTAGCCAGATGCATAGGAGATATTATATTGCACAAGTATAGGCGCAGACAGAAGTACACTCTATTCCTGTCACTCTCGTGCTCGTGTCCAATAGAAGGATACTTCGACCCTCGCGGCGAGAGCGCCGCCCGCGCACGACACACTGACTACTTCCTCACTCCAGGGCCCCAGGCTGTTACTGACAATATCTTAACAGAAACACTCAATAACTAAACTAGACCCAACCCGAGACTCGAATTCAGGTCCTAAGTATGCGCAACCGTACACGCTAACCATGGAGACTGTTTTAATACATATATTCAAATTATATAATATACTAAATTGTGCTAATGCTCACATTTGCCTATCTCACTTATATACCACACACAGGAGTTATAAGAGATAGTATGAAACAACTCTATCTTCTCTGATTATGAGAATTTATTAATATCCAAAACATTGTCCAATTTCGAGAATTAGAAAGTAAATGAATTTACAATTTAAATCTGTGTATTCTGTATATATTTTGAGGTACTGTCTCAAACATTAGAAAAATATGTTGAAATGTTATTTTATCAAATACCTGGACGCCATCTACAAGCTTCAAATTCGGAGTTTCTTCTTCAGGTGAGTTTTCGTCCACCAAACTGATGCCTGTTAAAATATTAATTATTATTTTATTTTTTCATTTTGAGAGAATAATAATACATTTTTAAATCAATCAGCAATAGGGAATATGCGTGTTTTTTTTTAATATTTTATACAATAGCTAGCAACGTTATATAATTGTGAAAAAAATATACAGCTCCAAAAAACTAAAATTTAATATAAAAAAAAATTAAGATATCACACCGATCCGGATACTTTAAGCGCCCACCATTTCGCGCGCTTGGCTTGACGTCACAGTATGACATACACAAAAAAATGACGGATTTAGTGTGTAGTGACAAAATCGCTAATCACTCTGTTATGTACTTTCACGTCATTTCGGTCTGACCAATGGCGTGCGAGTCAACCAACTACTTTGAATTTCCCACCTATATTTGTACTTTTTAATAATTATTTTCTTAATCAAAAAGAAATTATTAAAAAGTATATATTTCACCTTAATTTAAATCACACGCATATTCCCTATTCAAAATAGTCAAATTAATTTTAGACAAAATAATTAAAATGTACCATACCAAACAAATTAAAATGAATATGGTAAATACACAAAAGCTGAACTAAAAGTTAAGTAATTATTTTAATTAAAATGTATTTTTTTTTTAAATTGTTTTTGCATTTCACAACCTATTTGTATGTCATTAAGTAATGTTACAGGTTTTCTAACATTGCACACATAGAAGCCACCCAAGTATTACGTAAGCAGAATTTTAATAATTATGAACGCCTCCCTCCCCCTTGTCAGCAAAAGTAAGCAAACCTGTTACTTCCCCTACTATGCTTACATAAACATTAAGTCTCAATTATTTCAGGGAATTCCTGAACATGCTTTTAGCTTTTGAGCATAGACGAGTATGGGTGTCATGTGTGTTCTCAAACCATTGATTTTACAAATCAAAATCTACTAAATTTTAATTATTTATTTAAATAAATAAATATTGCTGACGTACCATCTAGATAGCCACGGCCCCCATGTCATCAAAATTAAGCAAAGCAAAGACAATTCAATACTTAAGTAAAACTTCAATAGCCTCATAACGCAAGCAGAGCCACGAGTAAAACTTAAGATTATCAGACAACTAACCCCACTCATTATCAGCGTGCACGGGCACGGTGTCCTCCAACACCTCCGTGGCGAGCTCCACCGCGGGGCGCGCGCGCGCCTCCGCCTGGCGCCGCCGGCACCACACCTCGTCACACTGCGGGTTGGGCTGGAACAACATACATTCACAATTATTTACATTATACATACTAGCCATACATACCTTTTCTTTCAAGTCAAACAAGAAATTATTCTAACTACAACACAAACAATTTAGTTATTATCAAAATGGGGATCCGTTAACAAAAAATATGATCAATTAGGGTTCCGAGGCCAAAAAAAATTGAGAACTGCTGAAATGTAATGTATATAAAACTTACTCTTAAAGTCATTGTGGGGAAGAAATCTGTCAATGCACTGTATCCCAAATAATAGCTCACATTCCCAAACCCTAGCAGGTGCTTCAGTGTATTTTGAACTAAAACAAATAAAAAAAACATTATTTGAAGCTCTCACAATACAGAAGTATTACAAACATGCACTTACATATAATAAAATTGTAAATAAGCCGAATCTGTATGTTAAATATTTTCTGGAAAATCTCATTGAAATAGATATTAGTATTGATACAGAGGCCGAATCTATAGTTTTTAGCATTTCTGTCTGTTACCGCATCACGGAAAACCGCTGGAGGATTTTTGATGAAATGTGGTATGATGATAGCTGGTTATCCCTATCAACATATAGAATACATTTTAGTGTGGGAAAATATCTCATCTCTAAGAAATCGATACTAAATGTTAAAACGTAGGTAGGGACGAACCCGAGCTAAGCGGGGGTGAGTCGCTAGTTATCAATAAATGATAAATGAGTTATATTTATGTAAGGAAACTATAAAAATACAAGTATCTTATAATAGTAATAAGTAGTATCTTATAATATGTTCTTATTATATTAAATGAGCAATTCTTGTATGTATATATATAAAAGCGTTCACCCTAGGCTTCGCCTATAGACCCCCCCAACATGCGTTCACCTTGTCGTGGTGGGGGGGCTCAGTAGTGTACTCGCGAAGCCAAGAAACGCACAGGGAGGTGGCCCGCTTCGGTAGGCGGTGGGAGGTGGCCTTCTTCGGAGGGTGGTGTACCATGCGGGTTGCTCCTGATACTTCTCTGATAGCAGAGTGGACCGTGGAGCAACCCCATGGTTGTTGTGGTCTGCTTCGGCAGACCTGCCGTCGGGGCGTCGTAGTTGAATGCGTAAGCGATCCTGCGACGCCCCATTAAGACGGGGGAAGGTTTTGTTGGGTTTTAGTGGGTAGTACTGGCTTCGCCGGTGAGTCCCACACTTCGTGCGTAAATGCATTTCCCAACGTTAAAAAAAAAAAAAAAAAAGGCTTCGCCTCTAGAAAGACAAAAACAAATCCACGGCAAAACGAAAATCAATTACGACACGTAAATTGTTCCGGAATAAAAAGTAGCCTATTTGCTATTCCAGACTATAATCTATCTCTATGCTAAATTTCATCAAGATCCGTTCAGCCGTCCTGGCGTGATTGAGTAACAAACATCCATCCAAATATTGGACCATCTAAACTCTCACATGTATATTAAATCAAAGTCTAAAGATCAAATGTTTTGCTTTTTAAATTTATCTAGATAGGTCTTTTCTGAGAAAACGCAATTTTCCACATTAAAAAAAACATTTTTTATAACTAATTAATTATTTATTAGAGCCTTTTTCTAACAGCTCTCATGCTAACAATGCCTTATAGTGCTTACTCGTAAATTTTAGTGGCATTATCATCAACAAAGCTTGGTCAAGTCTACTAATAAAAATACCAGGCAACCATCAAAATTTGTTATTGTTACACTTTATGTGTGTACTGAATTATAATTTGTATTGTTTATAAAATAATTTATCTATAGCATACATAAAATAAATCTGAATTTTATCTTGTGTTTTATTACCTAGAAAGCCGGCAACAATTCCCATGGTGGTGGGGAGGCTGGCCGCACATACTCCTTCCCTTTTAAGGGTCTTTTCATCAATATTAGCCGCGACCACCAATGGAGGTGCACACTGAAACAAAAATAAATATATTCATAAACCACATTACATACATTACAAAAAAAGTACATGAAAAATAAATTTTACACCCCATGTATTTATTAATACTGTTAGTGAGAGCAACATATAAGAAATGCTAGTGTTTTTATACCAAAAAAATAATATTTATACTTTTTTGAATTTACCAGCTTTTTTTACCACAATTTATATTATTTCTTTACAGTGTTATTTAGATTTTTGGTTCTTAATCTAATTCTTTGTTCACTTAGTCACAGGAGAGACTGACATTTATGACCTTAGAGATGGCATGTACCCACAATAAATTAAAAAATAACTAGAAAGAAATAAGAAATGCCATCGAAATACCTTAAAATTAAAAAAAAAAATATCTGAAATTTTTTTTTTAATTTAAATAAATATTAATGCTTACAGCAAAACAAGCACTCTCTCCAGGCACAATGAACTGTATGTGTCCAGACACTGCATTCTCGCTGACACCTGATTCGAACCAACGCTGGTTCAGTTCATTGCAAGCTGTATTGATTGCCATCCGAGCTTCAAAGTTATCTACACAGCTAAGCACGAGATCTACTGGGCCTTTGGTTAGACTGCCTGTACTGAAATTAAAAAAAAAATAAGCACATTCTGCATAATCAACATCACAAGAACCATATTATAATAAATTACCCCAGGAATGTACCAATTATTAAATAAAACTATCTTTGCGGATTATTTCGCGGATTTATTTTGATTTTTGGTTCCCGACGTTTCGAATGCTTTACAGCATCCATGGTCACGGGAGAGACTGAGGTGTTACATGTCTTGAATGTATAGTTGTTACAGACAGCCTACCCACAATTAACAAAATGAAAAATGCACCAATTACATTACAATATTTTTAACTTTAAAACATTTTTATAATTTTAATTATAATTGAATATGGAAAATTATTTATGTAATTTTTGCTATTATTTTTATAATTATCACAATTTTAAAATATTAATTAGTAATCTATATTTAGTGTTGCCATTATTATATTTATAACCATAAAGAAAATATAAAATATAGTATTAATTATTTAAGCCATATAATTGTTCTATGTGTAATTTAAAAAGTTAAAATTAATTAAGGATAATAATTTTAATTTAGTTTGCTATTATTTAAAAAACAACTTACTAAGCAACACTATTATTGTAATAATTATAAAAATAATAGCAAAAATTAAATAAATAATTTTCCATATTCAATTATAATTAAAATTATAAAAATGTTTTAAAGTTAAAAATATTGTAATGTAATTGGTGCATTTTTCATTTTGTTAATTGTGGGTAGGCTGTCTGTAACAACTATACATTCAAGACATGTAACACCTTAGTCTCTCCCGTGACCATGGATGCTGTAAAGCATTCGAAACGTCGGGAACCAAAAATCAAAATAAATCCACAAAATAATCCGAAAAGATACTTTTATTTAATGATGTCAAACATTCGCGTAAATCTAAGAAAGTATAATGTACCAATTTTTAATTTTAAGTTCCAATTAATTTATATTTGTAAATAACTAAATTGTATCGCCATATTGGGTTACAATTTCGTAACAAGCTTAAAAATAATAAAATGTGCGACTAACCTTATAGTATCACAAAATTTCTGAAAGTTATCAACAGTAGTAATATTGTAATTGTAAGTATCAATTGTCACATCTGGATTGATTGCTTGTAATGTGGCAGCTGCAGCATCAACCTTGCTTAAACCAGCCTGGTGTGGTTGGAAGAAAAGTCTGTTCATATTGGCCAGTTCTACTTTATCATAATCAAATAGTATTAACTGCAAACAACAATAATAAATTAACTCTTATGGTACTGTGTATTTTTTAATATATATTTGAATGCTAATATGCAAAAAAAATTCAAATTCATTTTCCTTTTAAAAATTACTTTGATTTTATATATTTATTTCAGTTAATTAATAAGGATTCAATACCTACCTTTCCAATCCCACATCTAGTCAACATTTCAGCAGTGACGCTGCCAACTCCACCCACACCTACTACAGCTACTGAGAGCTCTCTGATCTTCTCATAATTATCTACTATACCCATCCTCTTGAGTGCCATGAGGCGACTATAACACAATAGATTAGTAATAAATAAATATACATTAATAATATAACATAAGTATTTGAAAATTGTAAAACCTTTGGAAGAAATTAAACATTTTTAATATGAAACATCATTGTAAGTTCGACAATGTAATAATTAGTAGGTATTCTCATTAATATATTAAGACATTGATGAAAAAAAGACCTTGTTTACATTTTCGTCGCATATATACTGCTAAATAAAAAAAATGTATAACATATGTTAGGATATAAACAAAATACCTGTACGGATTAGAGTCGACCACTTCAGAGGACATAACATCGATTTTTTGTCGTACAGGTCCAGCATTGCCTTGTGCTGCTGCTAGCTTAGCTTCCAATTCGCTTACTTTTTTTTGCAATTCTTCCACACTTGCCATTTTAATACAATATGTTGGATTTCTATTATTTTAAGGAAACTGTCGATCCTACCATAGACCACTGCAAATGTCATCACACGTCACGTCATCATGACATTACATAGTTGTGCACAGATAAAAAAGTACTACGAATTAGGTACAAGTCATAGATTTACCAGTCACCAGAATATTTGTAAGATTTATGAGTTACTAATAATAAATCAATAATTTGTAACAGTAAAAATAAAACAAAAACAATCTTAGATAATATGTCTTATTTGATCCTTGTCTCTTGTTGGTGACTGGAGCTGGGAGCAAGAAGACAACTTTACTCACTACCGGCTAGTCACAGAACTTCGACCATTAGCGAAAAATCACTATTTAAACTATGAAATATAAAGCATAGATTATGATTAAATTACTCTAGTAACCCTTTTCAAAATTAAGAACATTAGTATAAAATACTACTTATAAATCAATTAAATAAAATTATTTATTATTTTAACAACAATAATATTTATACTTTGAAAAACATAAAAAATTCAATTCATGGAGCTCGTTAAAAGGAATCAAATGAGCCCCAACCCGTAGTAGATATTGAAGAATACCACCATCCACCCCCTAACTCCATCATCAAATCAGCTTGATGGTATCATATTGTCATTCCCATGTCACATACAAAGTTTCAAATCACATTTTTTATGCCCTTATTCTTAACTTATTCAGTCAGATCTAAAGATAGAAAGTTGTTATTTGTCCTGCTTAGGCTGAGTCAGAAAACAGGTTCGCTTGATAGCGACTGGCTGTCAGTTTTACGTTCTTTGGTCTCTGAGAATAAGGATTTAGAGAGCGTCCTTAAATTTCTTTGCACTTACTTCATTATTACATTAAAAATAATCAGCTTTAAAATATAATAACTTTTAATGTAAGTCTACTACCAGGTTCGGATAGAAAAAACCTAATAGGTTAGTGAGCTGCCGAGACTGAAAATCGGTTATGGGGAAGAAACGTAAATTTATATACTTACTATTTTATTTATTATATTTAACATAACTAATAGAACTTTTAAAATCCAATAATTTATCCTCAATATTTTTTTTATCTTTTTTTAATCTTTTCATTCCAGTAATTAATTACTTGGAGTCTTAGTGTAATAGTCTACCACAAACAAAGATAGAAGATTCCAGAATTAGTCTAATCAAAATAAAATCGACATTCTTCTAAAAAAACAGAATTTTCGTTCTAGGCTAATTTGAACCATTATGAAAGTACCTGAATGCGTAATATGAGGGCTCAAAAATTGGCATCATCCTTTTTTTTTTAATATTTTCAAAATCGTAAGAGTTACATAAAAACATTCCAAATATAACTTACAGAGCATAAAATTAAACTTTCATAAATTTCAAAATTTCATCGCTCAAAACATCGGAAAATTATAACGTTTAGCTAGAGTGCTGAATATTTGATAAAATATAGTTACAAGCATTTTGAAATCACTTTAAAGTTTAAAGTATTGCTGTCAACCTCCACAATGCAAGAGTCCGAATAGCAATATTTCATATTTATTTTTGAAATGTATCGAAAATGATAAAAATATTTCAAATATAAGTTGCACTTACCTATATGATGAAAATTTACTAAGTATTACAAAATTATATAAAAAATTGATCTCAGTGCCGTTCAAGAGCCTGAAAAGTGGAATATAAAATTAATTAAATTACTTTTCAAATAAAGTTGTAGAGCGTAAAATTTTACATAAAAAAGAGGGTAAGTAAACTTATCCTCATAGTTTTAAAATCAAATTAATACGTAAAATTGACATATCATTAACATTAACGTAAACTTAAATGTTTCACCGAAAGTCTTTATAGAGACAGAACTTTAGAAAGACAATTCCTAAATATGTATTAGGTAATTAACAATGCACTGCCGAACTCTCTGTAGCAATTTAGTTGCGTTGAGACCTCGTCGGGCGATTGACCGGTAGACATAGTCGCGCTTTAAGTATAAGTTGTAGTATGAGTTCAGCCTATTAATTATCATAGAGTTAAGGTGAGTTTTTAAACATTATTTAACTATTTATTGAAAAAGATTAAGACACTTTTAATTAAGAAATAAAATTAGGGCAATTTTTTTTTCTCTCTTCATATTTTTTAATTGACTTCCAAAAAGGAGGAGGTGAATATTTTTTTTATATATGTTCACCGATTATTCGAAGACGCCTGAATCGATTTGGATTTTTTTTGTTTCGTAGAATGTACTTCCTAAGTGGTCCCATTTAAATTTTAAAATAGGTCGAGCGGTATTTTTAAAAATCAACAATAAATTATTTTTTTAATAAATTGCTTAATCGAATATGTTATTAAAAAACTTTCTTCTTACAAATTCCCTGCTTATTACGTCTACACTAAAAATGAAAAAATAAAAACGTAAAAAAAAACCGACTTCCAGGCACTAAAATGTAAAAAATAACTAAAGGGGGGTTTTCATTTAGAATAATTACCTAATCGATATTTCCGAAGTCGGTGCCATCCGACAATATTTTAGGTAATGAATATCTAATAGGTAAATATGTATTTTACGTTCGAAATATATTAGATTTGTTTTGCATCGGCTGGCACCGACTTTTTTTTAAATAATATTTAGAAGTATGTAGCGTAAAATAATTTTTTTTATACATTTTGAATAAATTGTCGATTCAAATTACAATATTACAAATATTTAATTACAATTGTACCTAATTAAATTCTTGTAATTTGTAATTAAATTAATTATTAGTTAATTGTACAATTGTAATATCGTGACCGTTCAATCATGAACACAAGTGATCTATCGAGTTACTATATAGGTAAGTTCTCTTTTCTGTTCTTTAATGAAAAATGCAAAAATATCTCGTAAACAACATGTTAGTTTTATAATCTAAACTAATATTATAAACAGGCAGTCAAGTTTGTTTGTTAGAACGCGCTAATCTCAAGAACTAAAGAATTACTTATCCGATTTGAAAAATTCTTTCTGCATTTGATAGCCCGTTTATTGAGGAAGGCTATAGACTATATATCATATAATATATGGTCTATCTATTCCATACTAACCTTTAATAAAAAAGTTAAGGCATCTTTCTAGTATTGAATCAAATTAATACTCGCAAAAAAACGAAAAGTATCAAATTAAATCAATCAGTCGATAATAAATATAATATTCAAGAGTTATTTTGTTATAAAAACTCTAGTATATACACGTGTTTCAGTTTATTAAACTGCTGGCCGCAAAATTGTCATTGTAAAAAATCCTTATTCAACATTCTCATTTCTATTATATTCGCACTATGTAAAAACGAACGTCACGAAAACCGGTTTAGAATATTTCGAAAAAAATATGTTGTTCGTGAATAGAGTAGACAGATCGCATCAAGTTATTAAAACCATTTGATAAATTTCATCTAAATCAAAAGATTTTTTTTCTAAATAGCTATATTATAAATACAATTTATAATAAATGGGTGTTGATTTATAATAATAATGAGATTGTAAAGTCTAAAATAAAAGTTGTAACGCAATCGAAAAATATGTCTAATATAAATAACTTTTGAGACGTCTGAATTCTGAAACCTTACTGGCTCTCTTGACCATGATTGCTGTAAAGAAATCGAAACGTCGAGAGCCAAACGAAATATACCCGCAAAAAATCCGAAAAGATAATTTTATTTAAAATATCAAATACACCTGTATATCTAATAAAGTATTAAATATGTCTAAGATCGACTTCAACATAATATTTTTTACATTCATTTCATTTTCGTGGTAGACTATCATATTATCATATGCATTTAAAATTATAACATACTAGCGACTCACCTCGCGTCGCTCGGGTTCGTCCCTAAGTACGTTTTAATTTTTTTGAGCGGAACCCTAATTCTTTTTCTAAAATAAAAGCAGCCTATGTTACTCCCTATAACATCAGCTGCCTATCTTCCAGTGAAAGTCCCGTCATAATCAGTCCAGCCGTTTCAAAGATTATTCGGAACAAACAGACCGACAGACAAAAAAAATGTGTTTTTCTTATAAGTACCGTATGTAATTTATTGCATTTATAACAATTTAATATGCAATTTGTAAAACGCTGTTATTATGACATTACAAACAGACACTTCAATGTTATTTATCTGTATAGATGATTTTATTAGTTGTACGAAAAGTTCGAATACATCGTTCATTATTATTTTTACCAATATCTAATTTGATGTTATTACTTCGCAAGGAATTCGATTAACACTCAGTTGTGCCTACGGCCCCATTCCCGAAGTTGATTTCTGTATAATTGCGCCCGCGCCGCTTCTAAGGAACCGTGATATTAGCCTATAACCTTCCTTAATCAATATATGTACATACCTATAAGGCTATAAAATGCAAAACGCGGTCAAACAATCAAATACTAAAACAAGTAAGTATATTTATTTACTTTAATATATGAATACTAGTGGGTATTAAATAGGTGATTTAAAAAAATATATTTATAAAACCATTTTCATCTTAGGCGTGTAATATTATGAAATGATGATGTTCTGATGATGTTCTCCTGACCGATTCCGGCCACGGCGGCCAATCTCATTGAGATTAGCCTACTGCGCAGGAGATATTATAGTGTACGCGTAGACACAAGTGCACTCTCTATTCCTGTCACTCTCATACTCCGGTGGGACGAGTGCTCGACACGACCAGTGAGAGTTAAGGCGCAGGACCGACGGCTTTACGTGCTCTCCGAGGCACGGGGGTGAAACACCTCCAACTTCCCAACTCCGGGCTGTTACTGAGACTTACTATACAGAAAGACTCAATAACTAAACTTGGCCCGACCCGGGACTCGAACCCAGGACCTCCGAGTGTGCAGCCGTACATGCTAGCCACTACACCACCGAGGCAGTTATTATGAAATAACTAGTCTATGAGTATGCGTTACTCCAAAACAGTAGTATTTTGTCATCGATAAAAGAAGTACTAGATACACAATCCCATGCAAAAGTTCTCTTAAAACTGTCACCAATTGTGTTTAGGTAAATTATTATTCTAGTTATAGGTATATATATAAAAATACAACAATGTAAATTGAACTTCTTTGGCAAATATTGCAATTAAATTAAATAAAGCACATTAGGTATATCTATACATATAATAAAATTGTAACTAAGCCGAATCTGTACATTAAATATTTTTTGGAAAATCTTTTTGAAATAGACATTATTATCGATACAGAGGCCGAATCTATAGTTTTTAGAATTTTTGTCTGTCTGTCCGTCCGCCCGTCCGTTCTTTTAGCACCTCAGTCTATTGTAAAACAGGTGTTTTTGGTTATTATAATATAATTTCTATAACATCAATGCACGAAGTTAAGCTAGTAAAAACACAATGAGCGTAGTAAAGGAATATACGTAATGAAATTATAAGGATTCCCATGACACCGCAGCGGATAGACCTAAATGTTGATTAGTCTGAACCAATTAATGCTTTAATTATTGATATAGATTAGAACGTTTTTGTTAAAGTTATAAAAGGAATATATGACTTGTTTTAGTAAGAAATCATTTATTTAGCGCCTTTGCGACCGAGCTTTGCTCGGTGTTTTGTTAAAACGTGTAGCCCAGTCGAGTTACTCAAAAAAGAGGCAAACATTTTTAACAGCAATTTTCCTTCGGAATTCTTTGGGGGGAGGAGGGTTGTCACTGGTAGCCTACATTTACATTCTCGGGGTACCAAACCTGTTGTGTCATCCGCCATCTTGAATTTAAGGGTTGATTTTTATTTTTTTGAAGAACTTGTTTTTTCTTCAATTTTACACGAAAAATAGTTATTTCAAATGTTGTTTGAAATTAAATTTCCTACAATTTTGGTTTTGGTTAACATCATTTTTTTCCTAGGATCGATATTTTTCGATTTATACCCGAAAAGAAGGGGTGAATTTTTGTTAAAAGAAAAATTGTGATAAACAAAGTTACTTAAAATCAAATTTCCTATAATTTTGATCTTTATAAATATTTTCGTAGAGAATCGATATTTTTCGATTTATACCTGAGAACCCCCCATTCATTTCGTTTGCTCAGTAGGTATAGTATTTTAATACATGAGCTTGAAAAACTTGCTTTGGTATTTTGGCTTTATTTCAATTAAAATGAAAATTTGCGAAAAAACGAGGCTGCTATGAACTATATTAATAACTATTCTTCACCATACAATAAGAGTTTCAGTTTCTCTGAATAAGAACGTCAAAGATGGGCATTAAATTGAAAAATCACGGTCATAATGTAATAGGTCTCTTAAGATGCAAAACCTTATCTAAATATGGATCATTTAGATCATTAGAGACGTTTCCGAAATACACTAAATGTATTTATTTATGTATCTAATATACAAAAATTGCCCATTTAATATTAGAAGATAATACTTACATAATAAAACTATCTAATAATTATGAAAACATGAGAAGATTATATCTATGTATAATTAATACGAATAAAATATTAATCCTGCTGTGAATGAACTCAGTACATACACGTTCTTTCTTTATTTGCAAACTATCGTTTGTCCGCGTTTCCACTCGTGTAGTTTATTTATATCAAATATAAATATGTTGGGACATTACCACACAGCACCATCTAGTTCCATGGTAAGCTACGAGGCTTGTGTTATGGATACCAGATAGTTGATACACTACACATATATAACTTTTAAATACGTACATATTATAAATATAAACACCCATGAGTGGAGTACAAACGTTCGTGCTCATCACACAAATAAATGCGCCCAGCGGGACTCGAACCCACGGCCGCTTGCACAGCAAGTAGGGTTACTACAAATTGTGCCAACGTGTCGTTTTATTAATATTAGTAGATATATATTATAATATGTAGTTGTGCCGCTCCTGAGAGTCGCTGCTTACATTAGGTAACTTATAACTTGCTACGATTAAATAACCTACAAAATGCATAAATAATTTTGAAAATCAGACTTGTGGTTCGAGAGCGTTTCAATCAAACAAAAAAAAACAAACTACCTACTAGTAGTAAAAAAGAGAATTTCAATAAGATTGGTCGCCGAGACTGAAATTCGGTATGGAGTCTGGACATTATAATTGGAATAATACAAATTTTGAAATCCATTTGTACGTGCATTTAGGTATGTTTTAGAAAATAAAATAATTTGCTTGGTTTTTAGTTCTTTGGTTCATTTCCGTTCATTTCGATTGCGTAAAAACCTCACTCTCCTTTGAACATATGTATTTGCTGTAAAGATCTCAAAACGTCGGGAACAAATAGCAAAATAAAAATATAATTTTATTTAGAACTAGTGTCTTACGCTCGCTTCGCTCGGGTGTGCCCCTGGGTTAATGTTTTAAATAGATATAAAGAGTTATTGCGAGTTTACCTAAAAGACTTATACTACTGCAAATTCAGAAACGCGCACACATAAACATATAGACAAACAGACAAAAAATTTATTAACAATTGTTTTGGGGGCTATATTCTGTACACAATACGTTATAGTCAATGTTTTTAAAACTTATTTCATGCACAATGTACAGTGGAACTGAATTTTACAATTACAAGCATACATTCAGTATTGTCCTAAACCTTCAAACATTCTAAAATGGTCCCAAACTACCTTACAATATTTGTTGATTTACAATTAAAATCAATAAATATTGTAACTTGTAAGGTACTTTGGTGCCATTTTTAGATTTTTGAAATCATTTTGTAAAATTGTATGTAGGCACTATCTGTAACAAGTATAATATAACGCTTTTGAGACTATTTTATTATATGTATAGAATTAGATATACTGCCACTAGGCCTGATATTATAAATCTTCGAAAAAATTTAAATGTCTAGTTTTGTTCCAGGTAATCAGTGAAGATGCAGCGACCACAAACTAGCTCGGAAAGGACTCCTCTGGTGCCACCTACTTATATGTTCGAGTCCAGCATCTCGAGGACGTATCAAAAAAGATTAAGGAATTTTCAATGTGCTGTTTGTGTTCTTTTAATGTACGTAACATTGTTTTTTTTTAATTTATCTATATCTATACTTAATATTATAAAGAGGTAAAGTTTGTGAGTTTGTGACATTGTAATCTCTAGATCTACTGAACCGATTTACCTGAAATTTGGTAAGAAGATAGTTTGTGACCCTGTAAAAGACAGGATTTTATCCCGGAAATCATCCCTTAAGGGGATGAAAATGAGGATGAAAGTTTGTAGGGAAACAATCTAGTCTATTACATACATTATTTAAATACATACAAGCTAGTCTATTATATAGTACCTACTTAGCTCAGATCCTTACTAAAACGCGTCTTTAAAACACACAACCTTGAAAATTTACTACAAACATACATACAGGTAATTATATCGAGATCCACCGAGAAAAGGCAGTACTATGTGTATTACAAAAGCCTAACGAAATCTTTTACCGCTTTAATGGGGCGCCACAGGATCATTAAATCAGGCCAACGTAAATCTCTCTCGAATGACTAAGCCGGCACAAAATACATACAACCTCCTTTTTAAAATCCACTAACATTTACTCTCGTCCTCACCTGCCTAGTTTAAAAATAATGGAATTTCATAAAAATTTCCCATCCCTTTTTATCAATTTAGAGATTGCATTTTCCAAAATTACTCGAAAAAACTCGATGTTCTGTGCAAATACCTACACCCTAAGAGGTTTAACTGTAGCATTTGTTCTTTCTGAAATCTCGTCATTAATTAAGAGAATATTCATATCTCATTTTTTTCTTTGTATTTTTGTAGTTCCCAATTCGCATGACGAATGCAATGACTAAAATATGATACATAGACATGGTAGAGTCGGGATCATTTAATTTATACACTAATTTTTATTCACCAAAATGTTATATAATTTAAAAAAATAAACAACTTTATTTTCCCTATGATCCTTTAGTCTGTCAATTCAAGGTAAAAATTCTTTAAATTTATTAAAATATATTACCATAAAAGGTATTTTATTACAGATAGAAATATGTTAGTTCCATAAAGAAGCTATAATTAATTCACAATATGTTTTCGTACGTGCCGAGCTCGTCCTATTTGTATTTAAATTGTTATTTTAACTATTTAACCATTTTGTATTAAGTATAATTTCCGGTTAGGATAATAAAATTAAGTTAGTATTTTTACAAGCATGTATGTATGTACCGTATGGTGCGGTGCACAAAATAAGATCGGCATTTAGAGCTACAAATACCCCAGACACTCATGTGGACTCCATTTTTTTTCGTAATTTGAAAGAATTGTCTTTCAGCAATATAGCTCGAATAGTCTCTGAGTTAATATTACTTGACATAGACGGACGCACGAACAAATTATAAGGATTTCCGTTTTGCCTTTTAACTACGGAACCCTATTGAGAATTACCTAGGGACGGCATTTCCAAAACTTGTATCATACTGAGAAAATTTACCACATAGCCCTGTTTATAAGACAACACGATATAGGATATTTGTATAAGTTTAAGCAACGTGTTGGATAGAGTTTCAAAATTTTCGGTTATTCGTATACATTCTTTACATTAGATCGTGCATTTTGAGTCTATGTCACTTTAATATTAAGAAGATGCTTTTTTGGTCCTGATTTTTTGATACTCAGTGGACTCAGTTGATAAAAAGCTGTCCATAATTTCGGCTATTAATTAAATAATTCTTTTCAAATAAACACTGACTTGATCACTTTAAAAGTCATTTTTCCACCTCTACAACCGTTTTTATTTTGCTTTAGATATCATTCTCGAGGTGTTCCTAAAAAAGAATTTGATAATCTACTCACAAGAAGCGGAGATATCGTGTAACATACACATAAAATCATATACCTACATTGAGTAGATGCTTATAAATTTTTTGAAGGTGATCAATAATAAAATATCCCATTAAAATTCGTCGAACCATTTTTAAATGCTACGTTTAAATAAACAGACGGATAACTTCTTCAATAAATTTTGAATCTTAATAAATTATAAAACTATCTGATCTCAAAACTGGTATTCAAATCAGACTGTGTTTTTTTCTGTACCTAATTGCAGATTCTATTCCCGCTCATAGTTAATTTTACTTTTGTAGCTCACATGTACTATAACTGTGTGAACCGGCAGTAGTATGTTACAGGTTACCTATAAAATAAGTCTTAATTGAGATAATATAAATAACATTTCTTTTCTTCATCCATCACAACGTACAACGGACCAAATGCGAGTCTAAGTGCGGAAAACAAGTCCAATATACAATTCATCCATCACATTGTGTTTCATCTTTACCAAACTATTGGCGAAGTTCAAAAGGTTTTCTTGGTGTTCACAAGATACCAAAACAATGCCTCAAGAGATTTGAACCTACGACTGTGCTTGTTAATTTAGCCACAGATAACATATTAGTATTCCTAACGGTCAACGAGTACATAAAAAAACATACATACAAACGAACATTGAACCTCCTCCGTTTTGGAAGTCGGTTAAAATAAACTAATACGTATTCTCGTACAGCAGTGTCCTCCTGTCAGTGTCGTTGCTTGTCACGGTCTTCTTCAACCTGGGCTACGACGCCGACCTCACACCAGACGATGAGCCGCCAAAGAATCTGACCCTTAGACTAGCCTACGATGAAAATATAGCTTCTATGCTTAAGATGACCTGGCCCTTGAAATGTAAGTACTGATTTAATTTTTTATTATTATATTAAATACCTAGGCGACCTAGCTTTGCTCGGAGTTTTTGGCCAGAAAAACATTAAAAAAAAACAAACTAAAAATTTGAATAAATACAAAAAAAAACAAAAGTAAAAACTTTGTATCCGACCGGGATACGAACCCAGACACCTGTGGTTGTCAAACTTGCGCCTTGGCCGCTTGACCATTATGCTTATGTCCTAGCGTGCGAATTAGCGAACATATTTTGCGTGCGAAACAAAACCGCATGAAAACTCGAAAACACGCGTTTTCCCAGACATAAAACTAATCTAGATCGATTTATCGCCCCCGAAACCCCTTGTATACTAAATTTCATGAATATCGTTGGAGCCGTTTCCGAGATTCAGATTATATAATTATACAAGAATTGCTCATTTAAATATACATATTAGATTGCGCGATTAAAAAATGTGTTGCATTCTTATATTCGAGCGTTTTAATGAAAAATAATATATTTGATTAATTTGTAATGATTTATGTATATTATGGCATGTAGTTATGTTACCTTGACCGATAAGAATGTATTTAAAAAAAATTAAAAGGACGCGGATATACTTTTGTTTTCTCGCGCTTGACAAAGGGGGAGATGTGGGTACTACCCTGTAGTGACTTATTATGGATTGTTTCTAATACTGAAAATTATTGTTGTAAATTATGTAACTCATTATTTAAAAGAACAACTGTTGAGTTGTTGCCGGCGAAAGGAACTTCGTACCGACCGGAGTTCTGTAGACCATTCATTTATTCATTCACTAGCGACTCACCCTCGCTACGCTCGGGTTTGTCCCTACTTACGTTTTAACGTTTTGTATAGATTTCTCAAAGATGAAATATTTTCCCGCAGTAAGCAGTATTCTATATGTTGACCCGGATAACCAGCTATCACCATACCCAATTTCATCAAAATCTGTCCAGTAGTTACCCGTGATGCGGACAGGAACAGACAGACAAACAGACAGACAGACAAAAATTCTAAAAACTATAGATTCGATCTCTGTATCGATAATAATGACTATTTCAATAAGATTTTCCAAAAAATATTCAATGTACAGATTTGGCTTAGTTACAATTTTATTTTAAGTATAGGTTTACGATCTGTTCTTTCAAGTCAAACAAGAAAGCATTCTAACTAGAACACAACCAGTTTACTTACCATTAAAACGGGGATCTGTTAAAAAAATTATGATCAATTAGAGTTCCGTGGCCAAAAATATTGGGAGCCACTGGTCGAATGTACCTAAAGCACGGTAATCTACTCACCTTGTTCAAAGCATATTGTACAACTTTTTACACGTGCAACCTGTGGGCCAAGTACTCTTAAAAATCATATAACCGCTTCGTGTTCAATACAATAATGCCTTTAGGGTGCTGTTGGGATTACCCCGTTTCAGCGGCTTTGGTTCCAGCGAGGATTAATTGTTTCTATGCCACGATGCGCAAAAGATGTGGATCCATGGTGGATAGATTACGGGGTAGTACCAACAGCATCATGAGGGTGATTGTGGATTGTAGATATGTTAATCACTGCTGTGCTATATCTTGTTAGTAATGTATAAATATATGTGAATGTAAAAGTATATGTATATGTATCTAAAATGTATCTAGAATGTAAGTAGGTACTAACATAGAATATAGGCACTTTGTTTACTACTAAACAAAATATGAGTCTAAGTTACTTGAAATAAAATTTATGTTTATTATATTATAATGTTATATGTAACATTACTATTGATTTTCTAATATCTCAGAGTTTATTTCAATATATATTCTTTCTTGAATTAATCTTTATTACTTGGTAAAGATTTGCAAAAAAAGTATATATAATTTAAATCATATACTAATCGATCTTTTAGACCGATTTAAATTTCTGTTTTGTTAAATTAATATCTCTATTATTCTTAATTAAACTAAATTTCCATTTTTAATACATTATTATTTGACTTCTAAGGATTTATGTTTGGGCGGCATTTTGCTTAGTAACCAAATATAATTATTTAGCCCGTCTGGGAATCGAACCCATGACCTTCAGACCTACAGCATGCTAGCTTCTAGCTAGACCGACGAAACAGCCGTTTAAAACTTACAAATTCGGTCTAATTTAGAATCAAGTATGTGAATATACGAGATGCTCCTAACTATTCGTGGAACTAAAAAAATACAGGCAATTTATTAGATAAAATAAAGAATAACTTAATCAAATGATATTATTATGTTTTAAATAGCTATTATCTACTAATTAAGCACTAGCAGGTTCTTATTTTAATTAGACCAGCAGCCTAATTCCCGGCGGCTTCGAGTTCTGATTTTGTAAGGATTCTTTTTGAAATAGCGATCAGTGCACGATTGTGAGTGGTTCAAAATTGAAACTAACTACAATCGAGAGAACGATCGAGTTGTAGTGACAAACTAACGTCTTTGACGATAGCTGAAAAGGTACTTATACGAGTATCATGTAGATCAAGTGTGGATATTTATCGGTATACACTAAACATTTATAAATGAAACATTTTATGGCTTTGGCTCTATATTTAAATGGTTCGCCATCGATTATATCATGTTATTGACGAAGCAAACTGTTAACCAAGTAAAGAAACCGAGTAAGACTTTAAATTCTTAAATTACATATACATATATACATTTACATTGTATTCAGCTCTTTTTAAAGTCCCACTGCTGGGGGTGGGCCTCCCTTCAATACGAGGGGTACCAGGCCATAGTCCACCACGCTGGCCAAGTGCGGGTTAGCGGACTACACATAATATCTTTCGAAAACTTAATAAGTTCTCTCAGACTTGCAGGTTCCCTCACGATGTTTTCCTTCACCGTAAGGCAATTGGTAATCGTGTTAAAAAAGGATTCGCACATGAAAATTTCAGACGTGTGAGACTCAGGATTTGAACCCGCTGCACTCGGTTTCCCAAGTAAGCACGTTACCACTGGGCTACCAATTGCCTTACATTAATTGTTATGTTTGATATATGTAGTTAACATTTTTATTTAAGACTTGATACAACCAATTCATAGTGTTAAGACTTATTAATTTCTTCTTATAATTTCTGCCCAAATAGCCCCATGAGCTTGTAAACTTCTATTCTTTTCTCGGCAACATTATTCGTAGTTGCTATAGTTTCATAATATATGTAAAGCAAATAAGTAAAATATGTCACAAAACCTGACTTTTTATAAAATTTAAACTAAAATGTTAGTTTTCTTGACACAGAAAAAAACCTCTTTACAAAGTATCACAATTATATGGTTAACAAATTGTAAACTCTTACATTGTAGTTTTTGTATTTTTTCTCAGAAATTAGATATTTTCCCAGAATAAAAGTATCCTATATGTTGACCCGGATAACCAGCAATCACCATACCAAATTTCATCAAAATCTCTCCAGTGGTTTTTCTATGATGCGGCAACAGATTAGACAGACAGACATAAATTCTAAAAACTATAGATTCGGCCTCTGCATCGATAATAATGTCTATTTCAATAAGATTTTCCAAAAAATATTTAATGTACAGATTCGGCTTCGTTACAATTTTATTACATGTACTATAGATAATAGAGGATATTAAAAGTGAGGTGTTTCGGTTTATTCAACATAATATCTTCCTAAAACAGACAGAACATGACGATTTATTAGCTGTTTGTACGTAATAATTGATACAAATTATGGAATATCATGTAAAATTAATATGTAGTCAATTTGTTATAAATAACTTTTGCATTCTAAATGATTCTCTTAACGACCTCTTGAAACAGTCAAGGAATTTCTCTCTCATTAGATCATTACATAGCTGTTATCCTAAGAACTTAAAGTTGCAGTTCAAGCTCTCCTTTTTATGGGACGAAAAAAGAGTAAAATTCTTGTGGTGTAAACTAATGTTTGTAAAATGGATTTATTTAATTGATAACCAATAATATAAATAATAATTGATAACGATAAAGCTCGTGAAAAAAAAAGCTAAGCAAAAAAAAGAAAACCGGTTGAGTGCACTGTTTCGGATTTGCTTATTTATATAAAGATTTATTATATTTATTGCACGATATTAGGAAATCAATAAATATAATAAATTAGTGTAGTTCAATAAATTCATAAAAATGCTTTATAAAACAGATAGCTATTGACACCCACTAGAACATAAAAATCATCTCTAATACGTATGTCACGTAGTCAGAATATATTTTTAAATATTTTATTGACAATATCGCTTGTAAAAAGTCGTCTCAAGTTCTTTTAGCTTTGCGTAAGTTACATAAAATAATATATTCATACTAATATTATAAATCTGAAAGTGTGTTTGTTTGTTTGTTTGTTTGTCCTTCTTTCACGTCGAACCGGAGTGACGGATTAGCGTGGTTTTTTTGTGTAGAGATAGTTGGAGGGCTGAAGAGTGACATAAGCTACTTTTTACCGCGGGAGATTATCTAATTCCCACGGGAAAACACGTTATAATACAATCCAAAAAAATATTTGTGATCAGAATTATTCGAAACTTGGTATTAAAGCTCTTCAATACCATTAAATAAATACGTGTAAGCAATTTTCGTAATTCATCACATAAAGGGTTAAAATAAGGGATGAAAGTTTGTATGAAACCTACCTTTTTCGAGTTTTTTTGTAGTTTTAGCGCGACCAAAGCCGCGGGTTCTGCTAGTAATATTATAAAGTTATTTCTATATTTTTATCAAATTATTCTAATTATTAATTGTCTTACATGTGCACTGTTTATAATAACAGATCCTTTGGAGAAGGATAGAGATCCTTCTCAATGTATCTATCGTCTTTTTAGAGAAAAAGACGATACATTTATTAATTATTACTAAAAGATCCTTCAAAGAATGAAGAATACCACATATTGGATTACATAACTCTGATATTGTATAAAATTGTAGTTTATAATTATTATAATTTTTATACATAAACGTACATAACTATATGTCTAAGTATGAAAGTTATTTTAAAGCAAATAGGACACTTTCCGTTACTAAAACCATACAAAAGTGTTTAACAAGTTGTGTGGGATAAAATGAACACTCTTTATTTAACTTGTATCAATACAACGGTATTAGGTGCTCATAGAACCTTATTCCGACTTACATCGGAATTGCGTTTAATAAATCTAAATCCCGTTTTCTAATTCCGAGTATTAAAAAGTAAAAGATTTTTCAATATTATATAAATAAATTAATGCTTATTTGTGATAATATCGTAATACATTAATAAATTAATTTTCTGTACTTAGCTTTTCCGTACAACGAATTAATAAAGTACTTAATAGGATTATCTTTTCTTATCTTTTATATGTTGGGAAATTAACACACAGTACCATCTAGTTCCATGGTAAGCTACGAGGCCAGTGTTATGGATACCAGATACACTACACATATATAACTTTAACTACATACATATTATAAATATAAACATCCATGACAGGAGTACAAACATTTGTGGTTATCACACAAATGAATGGCCCCAGCAGGACTCGAACCCGCGACCGCTGGCACAGCAAGTAGGGCCACTACAATCTGAGCCAAACATGTCGACAAATTTATATGGTATAATTAGTAAATCTATCCTAGGTAAGTAGGTAGTTAGCCTATCCACTAGACTCTCGAGACATTTTCCTTTGAATACATAATTGATAATTTATTACATTATCAAAAAGTAGTTTGGCAACTGACATTTGAGCACGCGCCGGATCCGAAGTTCATCTAAATTAAATGTTTATTTTAACCATTTATAATGATATTCGCCCTATTAGTCCATTAAGGCGCTTGTTTGTATATCCATGTTGTTAATCATTTTCAATTAATCATTTTTAATATGATTACCACGCTTTACGGTGAAGGAAGCCATTTCGAAGATACCTGCATTACACGTGTGAATTCCACTAAACCGCATTTGGCCAGCGTGATAGACTATGGACTATTCACCTACGCCCTGATAGAAAGCCCGTGTCTCGTGTACTTGATGTTAGTGTTAGGAACTTATGGACTAAGATCCCGCTGCAAGATTGCTACGTTCAATGCGTATTTAATCGAAATCAATTTTTTATATACAATAATAAAAGGGACAATATGTTTTGACCGGGGTGCCTATTCAACCATGGTAACCGTTGTTATTATCTGACAAATGATATATAATATTATATTCTTTCCTTCTTTTCTTTCCATTGCGGCCACTTTTACATAGGCAGACGTAGTTTATCAGGTACAGAAAAAAATTAGCTTTAATTTGATATATAAATTATGAACATACGCGATGAACGTATAAACGTCCCAAAATATGACCCGCTTACACCTGGCTGCGAAGAGGTTGCGGCCAAATGCGCAACGGCAGCTACATATCATTTTTCAAGATCTTTACGTATAGTTCTGTGAAGTGGAGTGTAATTCATTGTAATAACAAATGCAACGTTTTTGTTCCAAAAAGTCGACTATTATTTAGTTAATTAAACATACTAGCGGGCACTTTTCAATAGGCACCCCGGTCAAAACTTGTTGCCCCTTTTATTATTGTATATAAAAAATTGATTTCTATTAAATACGCTATGAACGTAGCAATCTTGCAGCGGGATCTCGATCCATTAAGGAAATATAAAAAGAACTTTAAATTATTTACTAATTATTAATATCGTGGAATAAAATGTACAAGGATATCTTTAAATTATTATTCGAAACTGTCGAATATTTGTGACATCGTTCTTATTTAAAAAAACAATATAATTTAAATAGTGGTTTTACATGTTTTGGCAAGTGTTTCATTATAATCTCGTTACCTAGGATTTTTAACCGACTGTAAAAATGATAATGTCTTAAGTCGAATGTTCTTTTTGTATGTATGAGAGGATTTCATCCATCTTTGACGAGTGTGAACTCATGTTAATAGATCAAAGATTTCTATTTAATTTTTATTTAAAATAATAATTCTTAATAAACTGGAGCGCCTCCAAAATTTAGCCATAGGCTTCATCTACAACCTGCGAAAATATGATCACATCTCAGATTTTCGCGCCCAACTTAAATGGCTTCCAATTCGCCGTCGCCGTGTTATGCATATCCTGTCCATCCTCTATAATATTCTCCACGATCCTAACACCCCTCCTTATCTTTGTTCACGAATTAGCTTTCTTCCCACTTCCACACGCACTTAACGTTCTTGCGTCACATCATGCTCGACGTGCCAAAGTGTAATACCGGCTTTGGACTTATTTATTTTTCGATACGTGCTCCTCTACTATGGAACAAACTTCCTAAACTTATTCATGAAAGTCCCTCCATCGCATCTTTTAAATATCGTTTAAAAGAACATTTCCTATCTGAAGTTACTTAACTACATCAACATTATATTTTAATAAATAGTTATATGTATGTATTGTATATATGTATTGTATGTGTGTATACTGTATGGTATAAAATATATATTGGTATTATAATTATTATAGTTATCTATGTATTTTATATACTTATATGTTTGTGTTATTTATTATACTAAGACTACATGTAGTATGTTATTTTTATATATACCTACTGTGATTTTTTGTACTTTATTTCCATATTACATTGCACTTTTGTATTCGACGCGGACATGACTTGTACAGTAATAATTAAATTACATTTGTTTTGTATATATAATTATGTGTATTTGTAATTTTCTTTATTGTAAACTAGCGACTCATCCTCGATTCGCTCGGGTGCATCCCAAGGAACGCAGATTTTGTTCACAATTTCATGGGGTTTTTTTTTGCGCGGGACCCTGATTCTTTTTCTAAAATAAAAGTAACCTAAGTTACTCCCTATAACATCAGCTATCTGCCCGTGAAAGTCCCGTCAAAATCAGTCCAGCCGTTTCGAAGATTAGCCGGAACAAACAGACAAACAGACAGACAGACACAAACAAGGGCAGGTACATTTCTCATAGAGTTGGTATCCGCTAAGAAGAAACTTTTGATAAATCAAACCTAAAGTGGTGAAAAACTTTCAAGTTTGTATGAAAATTCATTATTTTTAAAGCAGTGAGCAAATGCTAGTTATTATATAAATGGTTAACTTATAATCTTATAAATTCTTAGTAGAAGTCCTGAGTTTTGTCCTACTTCCTACTTCTCCGAGTCCTACGTCTCAAAAACAGCTGCGATAGGTATACTTATATTTTCTGTGTACATGATACCTAGTCTTACATTAGTAAGATTAGCCACCGCGACAAAAAAAATATGGGAAATTTTCAAATGAGTATACAAAAATCTCCAAAAACCCCAAAAAAATATATATAAATCAGTAAGATTTCTATTTGCAAGCAAACACAAAAAGTTATAATTTTTTGCTATTATGAAACGCAATTTCGATTCCAACATCGACGCTCGAAATTCATCCTAAAACACAAATCGTACCTCGGAAACGAAACCAACTTAGCTTTATAAAATCAACTACTAACATGACCATTTTAAATAGTAATATTTTAAAGTGTTGTTGAATAATAAAATCTAAATAAAATTGTAACTAAGCCGAATCTATACATTAAATATTTTTTTGGAAAATCTTATTGAAATATCATTATTATCGATACAGAGGCCGAATCTATGGTTTTTAGAATTTTTGTCTGTCTGTATGTCTGTCTATGACCGCATCACGGAAAAACCACTGGAGGGACTTTAATGAAATCTGGTATTATGATAGCTGGTTATCCGAGGCAACGTATAAGATACTTTTTACTGCGAGAAAATATCTCATCTCTAAGAAATCTATACTGAACGTTAAAAAGTAAATAGGGGCGAACTTTAGTTTCACCATATTATTAATATTGATCATTACGATAAAAGTAGGTCTCACCAAATGGCAATGATGTAGTCACGTGATCGTTACCGGTTTTGCATATTAAAAATGATATGTCTTCAATCTGAACCAAAATCGTGTTTTTTCGAAAATCACTGAATAACACGCAGCGAGAAACGAATACATAAAAAAATCGTTATTTCAAAACCTGATTGAAGAAGTTCTCTTTCAAATGAGGAGTGCATTTGAAAGAGAACTGCTTTACATTTTGGGTCAAATTTAATATTATTATCATTTATTTTCATTTTCTTCTTAACTATGTATCTACAAATATTTAGCTCTCATAAGCGCTAGAGCAATTTTAAATATAAACTTTCCAAATAAATACAGATCATAACAGCAAAAACCGCAACCGAATTCGTTAAGTAGTTCTCCAGATTAGCGCAAGCCTACATACAGACAGATACTTTTATGCGTATAAGAAATAAGTATAAGAATAAACTCAAAACCTATAAAAGATTATAAAAGTTACAACCACAAAAATGCATATACGAGTATAACTATATGTATATCTACTGTACTTACATGCAGAAGATATAAGATAAAAATAAAATATCTTTTTTTTTCAGCAAAGCCTCCCAGGCCTTGGCTAGGGGCTACACCGACAAAGACAAACTTAGACGCTGCCGTGGCACAAGGAAAAGACGCCTTAAAAAAGCGAAAAGTAATAGAAAGCAGTCTAAAACCTTTGGACAGTGACTCTCCTGCATCCAGGGCTCAAAGAGCTGCGGCAACCTCGCCGGTAGTGAAGCCTTTGGCAGATTCTGCCTTCGCCGCTGAAGTCGCTACTAGAGTGTTAGTTAATGGGTAAGTGTTTGATGGTATGGTCAACATAGCCATGGATTTTAGATCGATTTGTGTTTTGGTGATGTGATAGTATACATCTTTTTAGTGTCTTCTCCATTCTACGTGACATTGGCGAAGTAATCTATGTTCAACTGACACGCTGACGAATTTAATTGAATTTTTTTTTAAGTAGTCTCACCATATACTCGCTTCGTCCCTTGTCTCTCCTCGTTTTATATACTTAAACGATTATTGTATCTATAACATAGATACTCGTAATTTCTTAAGATTTAACATTCTAAGGATGATAGGACCGTTGGAGTCCACCGTCCATCAGTACAGATAGCCTAAAAGTTGTTCCTAGCACTAGCGCGACGAAACGCTACGCTATGAAATAATTAGGAAAATGACAAAATAATAAAAAAAATACTTAGTGAATATAAAAATATTACATTCTTTTTATCCTTTTAACCTTAAATTCAAGTAAAATCTCTATGCCTTTGTCTATGTCACTCTCCAGCCCTCCAACTATATCCACCTAAAAAAATCACGCCAATCCGTCACTCTGTTTCGACGTGAAAGAAGGACAAACAAACAGACACACTTTCACATTTATAATATTAAGTAGGTACTTGATCGAAGGTACTTGATCGAAAAAAGAAGGTAGATAGATAGTTTTATACATTAAAAATTATAATATTTGTTAAATATAGAACAACATCGTGTTTTTTTGAAAAATGCAGATTAAAATGGCAGGGTGCTTTATAAAATATTAGATCGAAAAGAAGCTCCAACTAGATGTAGTCACGTGATTGTTACATTACCGGTTTAATACATTAAAAATGATAATTTGATAAAAATAGACCAAAATCTGTTTTTTTTTGAAAAATGTAGATTATAATGGCAGGGTGAAGTGAAAGACACACGATTAAAATATATATTTTATTTTTAAACTTGTTTTTAAACTACATACCCAGCTGATGACTAGCTTTTTTATTGGGGCAGGCTTACTATTTGCACAGATATTTTCACAGCGACAACTTCAGTTTTGTTGCCGCCATACGGGGTATAAAGTATTTTGCTTATGATAATTTCTGAAAGCATTTGATTTGCTATTGCTAATTTAACTACAGATTGTTAGATGACGGTCAAATTCACGTCTTTACGATTATTAAGATTTAATATCATGCAACCGCTCTAGATTCTAGCCTCGTAAGGCTGTGAACGAATATCTTCTAAAATAATAGCAGTTGCATCTCAAATCTTCTGCAATCTCTCTTCACGAAGATCATTTTGTTTATGAGAAGGCGGTTGGATTGATATAATTTTATAATTACGAGACAAAACAGTATCCACCTTCTGATAATTTTCTGAAGGACATTAATTAGTCTAGCCGTAAACCGGAACAAACAGACGGACAGTAGGATATAAATTTTAAAAATAATTTTTATCTTATTAGTACCATATATACTTCATATGAATTTAGTAAAAAGCTAGCAAAAAGCTATTATGACATTACACCTTCGTAAAACCTTCAAAACAGACACTTCAATTTTATTTATCTGTATAGAAAATTTTATTTCAGAATACTTTTTGAATATAATAATGGGTCATTTAACATAACAAAAATTTTACATTCTTTGATATAATCCAATTTACTGTACGATAAAAGCGACAAAGAACGTCCAATTCAAGAATAACGAGGGCATTTGTTTCCTGTATTACATCAATTGTCTTTCATTAAAGATAATCTATTACTCTGCATATACCATTTGACAGTTCTTTATAATGTGACAAAATAACTTTGTTTATTTAGACTTATTGATGTTTAAAATTAATAATATCAAAACAGATTATTCCATATTTTTTTTAATAGCATATAAGAGTAGACTTTGTAGGAATCTATCCCAACTTTACCAGTAATTAATAAAGTTTTCAAAAATTTAATAACTTGTTTTTATCGTAGAACATATTGTTCACAAGTAGGTACATAAAAAATATATTTTTTTTTTATTTCCTTAGGAATTAAAACCTGTTTCCTTAATGTATTCAACCTATTTAAAAAAATAAAACAGATAAAAATATGTACGTATATGTCGGTTCAATTAACTAAAAGTTAAAATTATAAAATGTAGATCGTAGCGCAGTAACATGAAACTCAATGTTGACTTGTTAAGGTGTTCCATACAAACGATTTTTATAAGATTCTCCTAAAATTGTCTAACACACTCGAATTAAAAAGCAAAACAATTAACTTTTATGTTATGTTTAATTTATCTATATATAATTAATCGCACATGCTATTATTTCCAATTTTTATTATTTCGAACACAATTGGTTTAAGATAAAGTATTCTAAATTGTAATATATATATATATATATATATATATATATATATATATATATATATATATATATATATAGCACTTATATATACTTTGGTATTTATAACTTTAAAATTTAAATTTTGTAGTTTAAATGTATACAGTACCTACATAATATGTGTTTATGTTTTGTGACTTTGACGCTGAAGCTTCTGGAAAGAAAAAAAATAATACACGGATAGAATATAACTTGGAGACACACATATTCTACTATCAGTATTAAAATTTGCTGTAATGTGACGCTACCTGAATTACATAATATAAATACAAAGAAAATTTAATGAAGTATACCCGAACGAATCGCAGGTCGCGACTTACCTTGTTAGTAATGTTTAAAAAAAAATTTTTAAAGGCCATAGGCAATAGACAAGCCGCTGCGATCAATATCTCGTATGGCAATACACTTAACCACGAAATTCTATCCGGCCTAGTTTGGCTTCACTGCTTGACCGATGATATTGTATACGAATAATATCGTTAATGTTATCTAATACTAGGCGCAAGTACTTCTAAATATAAGTTTATATTTTCGTATTCAAAATATATTTTACTAGCGTCCATAGATACCCTTTACATTTATCAAATTAATTATTATTATGTCGGTAGGTTTATTCCGTAAAATGTTCATAAATTATACCGTATAACCTTCGTAGATAATGCCTCTTTCTATTAGTGAAAACCTTATAAAAATCCGTAAAGTAGTTTTTGAGATTAGCTCGAACAAACACATACACTGCATGGTGGACGGATTTTCATTTATAATGTAGTGATTAAATAGACTTTTACAGGCACTTTTAGTTTTAGACAGACAAATTTCTTCATTTTTATATTTTACTAGCATTGCCCGCGGCACCGCTCGCGTTCAGATGACCAAAAACTAAATAAAATAGCGCTATTTTTTTTTCAAGATAATATATTTTTAATAGTTTTTGCCTTATTTAGTAAGTTACCTTGGTAAAATATATATAGTATCATTGTGGTTTTATTCTAACCAGTTTTTGTATTTTTTCTCTGAAACGAGATATTTTCCCGCGTTAAAAAGTACCCTGTATGTTGACCCGGATAACCAGCTATCGTCATACCAAATTTCATCAAAATCCCTCCAGTGGTTTTTCTGTGATGCGGTAACAGACAGACAAAAATTCTAAAAACCATAGATTCGGCCTCTGTATCGATAATAATGTTTATTTCAATAAGATTTTCCAAAAAAATATTTAATGTACAGATTCGGCTTAGTTACAATTTTATTATATATGTATAGATTAGTCAGATTGGTTAGTATTAGTAAGAAAACTACAACGGAGAGCTGACTAAGCATGACATTCTTGATAGAAATCAGAAATCTAAAAGAATATATGTTATTAATCTATAACATAACTATGAAGTCGTTTCAATTGATACAATTTTAAAATGTTCTATTGTAACCGAATGTAGATTCATGTCGTCTTGTCTAAGAGTCTAAGCATTGTGTTTCTATCATAGCTACCATTATACATTTGAACATATTGTTGACCCTACATTATTACGCCCAGGCCCTAACTACATCCTATGGCTTTCTTAACCGACTTTATGAGAAGGGAGAACTCAATTTGATACTACGCAATATCTTCGCCAATTGACAATTGGTTTTTATAATTATTTTTTTAATTAATCTTAAGGTTATTCCCAAAGGCTGAATGAAATAAGTAGTTATGATTTTGAAGTCAGTTTATTTTTTGAGTTAAAAGTAGGTTATTGTTAGAATTTATTTATTGTAGTGTAGCTGTACCTACAATATAATTATTACACTACAGTAAATTCTAATGATAAAGTTTGTTTGCCAGTATGCGTAGTACTGGGTTCGATTGGTTCTTTTTATAACTAAATACATACATATTATATGTTTCATGCGGACGACACAATAGCTCTTTTTAAAGCTGCAACAGCTCTTTTCAGAGCTAAATTTTTATTGTTTAATCGAACACAAACAGCTAACTTTTCTATGTTTCACTAGACGTCGAGTATAGCTACAAGTACAATTATATAAAATAATACACACAATAGTACAAGTATATTTATTATATTCGCGGAGAAAACTATAGTAACTCACGTAGATATGGGATCAAAAGGCTATAATATTAGTCTTTAGCCCACCAAGTCCTTTAAGGTCCAAGAAATCTACTATCTTACAAATTTACTACCCTACGTTGCTTAACATGCTTTATAATAACGTTATTTTTATGTTAGCTTTTGCCTACGGCTTCGCGAATTTTTTATATATGTTTAATCGAACTTGTAATTTCAAAGATAAGTGGGCATATTATTAAGGATAAAATCCTTTACTTGATGCCAAAATTGAAATAAATATTTGTCAGAATGGCACCATCGACCACTAAAAAGAACATAAAAAACCTATTATGTTTTTTATGATACAGTAAAACGTCTAAAAGAGCAATTGCTAAAATAAAATTAAGGCGCTAAAATATGTATTACAGCTATTGGTCAAAACAGCTTATATTTTATTTGCAGCGTACTTAGTATAATTAATATAATAAAAACCTTGTTTATAGAACGGACCCCAAATTAGAGGGAGGGGTGGGTATGGGTCCCTCAACAGACAGTAACTTCGAAGAGCCAGCGTACTGTCGGCCACCAACAATGCCTTGTGAGATGTCCAAATATCGCACTCAGGACGGTTCTTGTAATAACCTCAACAATCCACTCACTTGGGGAGTTTCCAACACGCCCTTTAGAAGAGTTTTGCCTCCTGATTATGGAGATGGTAAGTCATTAAATCATAAATAAATGCTTTAAAGTTATTTTTCTCGATTTATAACTAAGATATTACCTACTGTTGAAAAGTACTATTTAGTAAAAAATAAGCTTAGTAAAAACTAGACTTTAACAAAAACGCCCGCCAAAATTCTATAGTCTATAGGTACACAACAATGTCAAGGCTTTTTGTTAAGTAAGTATAATTAATAAATATTATATTAAGTATAAATGACAATCAAAATAAAAATAATTAAAACCGTTACAGTTCATTTTTATGATCAATCTGCCTATAACATAATATTTAATTATGACAATATATTATACAGCAAGGGACAAAGCAACTAAAAAAATAAAGAAAATCTGTAGTTCTAATTATGATATAGTATGTTCCAAATAAATATTACCGTTCTAAACCATACACCATCAGGTATCAGCTCTCCCCGCATAGCCAACGACGGCTCGACCCTCCCCAGCGCGAGGGACGTGAGCGTCACAGTGCACCGGACCGCCTACGCGCACGACTCCTCCTTCACAGTGATGCTCGCTGTGTGGGGACAGTTCATAGACCATGACATCACTGCCACTGCTTTGAGCAAGGGTAAGTAGTAAAAAGCAGGCGTAACCAGTAGCGTAACTAGGCTTTTTGGGCCCAAATAAAAAAAAGAAGTGCCCCCCTATGCCTATTATGAAAACGAATGTTAATTGCCAGGCGTTGAACGAGAAGTCATTTAGTCGGTAGTAGACACCCGAAAGCTGGGTTTTATTATAAATTAATAAAAACTGAAATTGTATTTTTTTAAGCTCAAGTTGCCACTCTTATATGCTTGAATATGACGGATACAGCTTTGAATCTTCTCACTTTTTTTTAACCTTTCTCACGGAAGAACGCGTAGAATAAAATATAGTAAAAAAACCTTTTTTAGAGGACCGTTCATCGTTTTATAGAACAAAGCTACGATCAGATTCCTCGTGGTCCTCGTAAAAAATAATACGCAGAAATTTAAGACACTTTTTTTTGTTTTTTTTTTAAACTTCTATGAGCGCCGTCCTCAAATTTTATTTGACATAAAAAAATCGTTTGTGGCTCGCTGGATCTCCCTTGAATCAGGACCCCATGCTATCGCATTAGTTGCAGTGGCGTAGCTACGCCACTGGGTGTAGCTGACAAGAGTGACATCGGGAACGTTTCAATGGGAAAAAAATAAAGCACAGAAATACGTGTGTTCGGGTAAACTTAATTTGTTGCAAGCTATGTGCGTCACTTTCGATTTGGGGATTCGAGCTAGTTCTAACAACATTCTAGCCTTGAGCTCGGATAAATCAGACATTTCCTCATATGTAGGTAGGTATATGACCCACTGTTGTGCTACTTCCTACAAATTTTAGATAATATCATTACTAATTATATTTTAAGAGATAGGGACAGTATTTTTGACACAACTCTAATATTTTTAACGCGAAAACATGTTTCTTGATGTTTTTATCAAAAAAATCAAGTATAAAAAATAAAGTAAAAATCAAATATAAAAAAAATTACGAAACTAATTTTTCTATAAAAAAATATGCCGTAGCCTCGTAGGGTATAGTGTTTTAGCATATTTTATACTAGAATAATATAAATAAGAAATATTTTAAAGGGTAGTTACTGATTAGCCTAAGCGAAGAGAGAATGGATCACTCATTAGTTTTATTAAATGTACGTATTTGATTCCAGGAGAAAACAGCAGCACAATTTCCTGCTGTGATTCAGAGATGACTCATCCAGAATGTTTTCCGGTGAAATTGGATAAGGAAGACCCCTTTTATCAAGATTATAACGTCACTTGCATGGAGTTCGTAAGATCTGCGCCTGCGCCTACTTGCCGATTTGGTACGACGTCTATATTTTGCCATTTGTTCCTGAAAAACTCATATAAACAATTCTATAAAGAGGATATTTTAGATAATCACCATTTGATACATTTAATTAGTTACGTAACTGAGGGAAATACACAATTGTTTTTAGGTGCCGAAATAATAATTAATTTAATGAATACTTAGTATCTGATCATTAAAAAAAACTACCCTTAAAATATAACTCTCAGGTTCCTTAAATACTATGAGTATGGTATCACTTCTAGGTCAAAGAGAACAACTCAATCAGGCTAGTGCGTTCCTCGACGGCTCTACAGTATACAGCTTTGCGGTGAACAAAACTAACCAGTTACGTGCGGGTCTAGACGGCCAGCTACGTATGCTGCGTCTCGGCCGCTGGCAACTTCTGCCTCCATCTACTGACCCCAATGATGGCTGTAATACAGTCGAGATGAACGCGAAGGGACGCTACTGCTTTGAGTCTGGTCAGTGTTACTTCTATCTGAGTAGACTGCGATAAAACATCACATCTTCAGGAAATTAAAACAGAAAAGAGTCTGTTTTAATTTTCTTTGAATGCTTTCTTTATCGCCTTTACATCATTTTTAAATCTACTTTTTGAAAAAAAATATGTTTTTGCTCAATTTTCAATTTGTTATCTTGTTTCTTTTCACTCATATTTTTTTAATTAAATAATGAACATTTTGGACTAGGGATTCGGTAAAGTCTTAAATAATTAATGATCAGTCTATTAGTCTTCCTGAAAGAAGACACAAAAGACTTTTTATCAACTATTTACAATCATTATAAAACAACTAATCGTCTACAACGTGTGTAATGATTTCTTCTATGAATAAATATGTAACACTTGACTCAAGATGAACATTTTTTTACATGTCCAAAAATACGTACAGTTTAGCTTAAACTTAGCTTTGAAAATATGATACTTCCAGGCGATGATAGAGCAAATGAAAACCTCCACCTAACCACAATGCACCTGATCTGGGCGCGCCAGCACAACCGCATAGCAGCCATCCTCAAGAAGATGAACCCGCAGTGGGACGACGAGACCGTGTTCCAGGAGGCGCGGAGGATAGTCGGGGCACAGATGCAACATATCACTTATGCTGAATTCCTGCCTTCTATACTTGGTAAGTTTGCTAAATAATAAAAAAAATTATAACCTAGTTTAGAAATAAAAAGCCAGAACCCTACCGTAAACTCTTATAGCATAATTATTATAATCTTACTTTGTCTTTACGTATCACAACGTCTTTAATACAACCTAAGCTTGAAATATTAGACAATTCTAACTTAGCACTTTGTCACGAGACCAGCAAAAAAAAAGAATAAAAGTCGTTTATTTGCTTACAGAATTTCACGTTACAATTCTACCGTGGAAGTCATTATTTAGACACGAAAAAACCTCTTTATCCATAAAAAAACTGATCTAGAATTATTAAATCACAGATTTCTCACTTATTCGTTTGTATGTTTTTTTTTCTGTGAAACATATACGCAATTTTTATATTTCTTTTATAATTTTTATATTTTCATAATGAATATGGTGGTTCATCCATCGGTGGAAAAAATACTTTTAAGAGATTTTGGTTTAACAGAATTTATTAAAACTCGTCATTACTATAATAAAAACAAATCAGATATGTATTTCCCAATATTAACACACTCTTACATTTTATCTTACACAAAAATACATTCCCCGTCCTCAGGTCTCGACGTGATGTGGGCGCTGAACCTCACGCTGCAGAGCGAGGGCTACTCGGACGCGTACGACCCCACCGTGGACCCCTCCATCGCTAATCACTTTTCTGCTGCTGCCTTCAGATTTGCGCACACATTGCTACCGGTATGGATTGTAGAGATATAGTTTAGTTTTAGAAAATATTATATTTTCTTAGAATCCTGAGTACTATTAGGGAGAATGGGACTCGTTATTGCCATTATAACAGTTTATTTAAAAATATCCTCTTATTTAAACATAAGTGCTATAACGTTTCATTTAGATGGTTTTTTACTGCTTGTTTTAACAAAATTAAAACAAGAGCAACATTAGTCCTGCGGAAGAGAGCGACTAACATATTATTACAGCTTTTCAATATAAATTTGACAAAAAATGTCGTAGACCTTGACGTCAATTCACTTAACACCTTTAAATACGAGTATCAACCTTTCCTTTAAAGCGATGATGTGTATGTGAAGTCTGCCCGCACTCGGAGAGCGTAGTGGACTATGGCCTGAACCCCTTAGTACTGGGAAACCCGTGCCCAGCAGTGGGATGTTAAAAAGGGCTGAATACATTCATACAATACATACTTCCACCCCCAGGGTCTGATCCACAACGTGGACGCGAGTACGGGCACGGTCAGCTACACGCACCTACACGAGATGCTGTTCAACCCCTACGCGCTGTACCAGGAGAAGGGGCCCAAAGCCGCCGTCACTTCCGCCCTCAACACGCCCGTGCACGCGGTGGACCTGCACATTACTACTGAGGTGATGATGAACACTTACATTAAAGAATCAATGCAGAACTAAACCTAAACGTTTCTTTAATGCAGAAAATGTTATAAACTTTTTTAATATTTTTTGAATAAATTATAAAATTATAAAAGAAAAATTATATTCAACTCATTTCAATCAATTATCTTTATTATTTATATATAATAATTAAAAATACTATCAGTGAAAATGTCACGTAACAAAAACAGTTTAAAAAATCAGATATTTTCATGACTTCGTGTATTTAACGAGCATGCACTTCTTTAACTAAAAACTCAAATCCAACAGCTAAGCGAGCACTTATTCGAGCGGAAGCTCACATTCAACGGCACCACACGCCCAGCTCCTGGCACTTACCATAGCGCTGGTACCAGTAACGGTACTAGCGGCGCTACTGGCGGCGCTGCTGGCGGCGCTACTGGTGGCGTCACTGGGTTCGGGACAGTCCCGTGCGGCCTGGACCTGGTGTCGTTGAACATCCAGCGCGGGCGCGACCACGGGCTGCCGGCGTACCCGGCGTGGCGCGCGCACTGCGGCCTGCCCGCGCTCGCCGCCTGCGACCAGCTCGGCGACGTGTTCGACGACTCCCTATCTCGCATCTGTCAGATATACAAGTTAGTACTGTGATAAGCATACAATGTAATCTTATTTTACCGACCAATCTCTTTCGTGGCTTCTCCATTCTACGTGACATTGGCGAAGTAGTGCTCAACTGATACGATTTGAAGCCAACAGATTGATTGATGATTGATTAACAAGAGAATTGAATTGAATTGAAACATACAACGATCATACTTGCTGATCTAAAGAAAAATATTAAGACCACTACGCCACCGTCAATGGCATCATATTTTCAAGTATTATTGTTCACAACTTTTATCACCTCAAAATTAAAAAATGAAATGAAAATTTTATTTACAGAAACGTAGACGACATAGATCTGTACACGGGGGCGTTAGCTGAAGACCCCAAAGGAAGGCTCCTCGGTCCTACACTTACATGTCTCATCGCCGACCAGTTCCTCAGACTGAAGATCGGTGATCGCTTCTGGTATGAAACCTCGGATGAAAATGTTAGATTTACTTTAGGTAAGACAATGTTTTTATTCAAATTATATCATCATCTATATTTAAGTGTTTGTCGAAGTTCAAATTCAAAAGTACAACTTCAAGTGAATTTTCTTATATATTTTTTTTAATCGGGCGAATAATTTTCTAAGGTTTAGATAGTTAGAGGTTCGGTTATAAACTGCTATGCCTACTCCTTAGAAAGCTCTATTTGCGAGTTAGGTTTTCTTAAATATGCTCTATCTTTTGAAACTAAAATAATTAATTACCTATATTTTATATACACATAATATAATTTTGAGTCGAATCTGTACTTTAAATATTTTTTGGACAATCTTATTGAAATAGTCATTTTTATCGATACAGAGGCCGAATCTATAGTTTTTAGAATTTTTGTCTGCCTGTCTTTGTCTGTCTGTGAACACATTACGAGATAACCACTGAACAGATTTTGATGAAATTTCGTACGATGGTAGCTGGTTATCCGGATCAACATATAAGATACGTTTTACTGCGGGAAAATATCTTATCTCTAAGAAATCTATACTAAAGGGTGCAAGGGAGCAAGGGTGAGTCGGTAGTTATTAAATATATTAAGATGTTTTTGCACATTTCATCATTTTCATTTATATTCATTCATTTTAATTTCATTTCAGAGCAACTAGCAGAAATCCGTAAGACAACGCTCGCCGGCGTGATCTGCGCCAACGAGGACCTCCTGGACCAGGCGCAGCCGCGCGTCATGGAGGCGCTCAGCGCCACCAACCCCCTCGTGGACTGCAAGGAACTGCCCCAACCCAGCTTCGCCCCCTGGAAAGAAACCCCTAAGAAACCCTGAACCAAATAGCGTTGGTAAGCTCTGTTAGATACAATTAGTCGTATTTTAAACCTGTTATTATTGTGCCTGAGATTTGTAATAAATTATAACTTCTTACTTTTATATTATTACCTACTAAATTTTTAAATTCATTTTTATTATGGCTAGGACAAATCTCGTAAAATATATTAATTAGAATTTAATTTCTTTAAGTAATATTTATAATTTTTGGACCAATTCGTGTTTATATTCGGCGATCTAAACCTAAGTATACTACTAGTACTATTGGAGTCTAATTATATGAACACTGTACAGTGTACATACATACATACATACGTCGTACATACGTTTTAGTTGTTTGTTGTGCAAATGATTTTAATTTATACATCATAAATATAAGGCTTACAGAATGTACTCATGAGCGCGCGCCGGGAGAAGCGTGTAAGGAGATGCACTTGCACCCCACTGCCATGAAGGAAAGTTATAGAAAAAGTTAAAGAAATAAAATTATATGAGTAAAATCCCTGTCGAAATTTAGATATCTTCAAACAAAAGACGATAAATAAGATATAATTAAAAATGATAAAGTTTATGATTTAAAAATTATTTAGTAGTTTAATGTGAAGAAGCAAATGCACGCCCCTGGAAATAATTCGGCCGCCGTCCATGAATGTACTAGCATAGGAATACCATAGCAATAATACGAATTACATGTCTTTTTGTTATCTTGCTTTGATTGTTTTCTATAGCGTGATGATAGACTTTTAGGAATCTTACTTATTTAGATCTTCTAAAATTTAATTAATTTCTAAATTAAAAATTTAACTTTTCACGAATGAATTTCGTAACAGACATTTTTTATATATATTTTTAATAGAAAACCAAATAATACGTGATTAGTACATTATTGAATTTTCTTTTCCCAACATTTTCAATACTTTAATGTGATATAATTGTTGAATAAACATTGTTTTTATATTTACTTACGTTTTTGTTATACCATACATAGATAGGGCTTTAATTGTTTTTTTTTTAGCCTTCTACGGCTTCGGTCGCAGACTTTATTCCTTTACATTCTTCAATAATTTAAGGTTATTGTAGTTTTAGTTTTTGAAGTTATACTTCTTTTGGCACGTTTGCTAAAAAATATGAGTGTAAAATTTTTACGATGCGCGTGCACACCGACAGCCAAAAAGCGACATGATGAAGTTAGCTGCATTCCTTTTACAAACAGAGAGTTGTGACATACGGGATGAAATCTTTAGCTATTTTTGTTCTGTTACGCCAAAGAAGTATAACTTCTTACGTGCACACACACAAACTTTTTTTCGCCTATATTGCACGTTTACTATTTGTATACTATCGACTGTGAATCACTTTGTGCCAAAATAGCAGATCTATAGTAATACAATATTTTAATTGTAATCTTTATTATAGTCTCTTTGGCCTTTATTAAATCTATTACATACCTATTAATATTTATATTAATACTACCGTCTCACCCTCACTTTGTTCGAGTTCGTCCCTAGGTACGTTTTAACGGTTAGTATGGAATAGATGGACTATATATTATATATGTATGTATACCTATACTTAGGTATGATGAGTTATTGTAGGTTGTATTATAAGGTGTTTTCCCATGGGAATTTAAAAAAAGATTTCCCTGAGATAGTTCCCGAAACATTGATCCTAGTAATAAATTATCACTACACAAAATTTACTTAAAATCCATTCAGTACTTTTTGCTTAAAAAGAAAAAGTAGGTAGGTATATACAGACAAACATATAAACAGACAAAAACTTTATAAACCATGTTTGCTTTGCTTATTTTTTATGACTTGGAGAGGGTCTGAACGTTGATTACTAGCAATATTTATTTATTTTAATAATTAATTAAAATTTAATAGATTTTGATTTGTCAAATTAATGTGTTCAGAACACACATGACATCCATAATTGTCTATAAAGCCTGTTAAGGGATTCCCCGAAATAATTGAGACCCAAAACTTACGTAAGCACAGGAGGGGTTGGGGTGAGAGCTTTGCTTACTTTTGCTGACAAAGGGGAAAGAGGGTGGTTTATTTGTCACTAAAATTCTGCTTACATAATACTTGAATGACCTCTATAGAAAAACATCCACCTATATTGAGTAAATCCTCTTTTTTAAAATTTGTCAAAGTATGTATCTATAATAAGAAAATATATACAATAATACATATATTAGATGAAAAAAAATATCGTTGATGAAATGATAACTCTGATATTAGATATTATCTACGTGCCAACGGATAAACTTCATCTGAATTTACATATTATTTGTAATTTATACCGACATTGTTGTTATTGCTATGTAGGTATCGTTTTATAAATAAATCTTTGTGAACTTTTGAATTGCCTTTTATTAAATTACCTTTCCAAATTACCTTACTCTACCTGGTCTGCTTTGTAGTGAATGCGCAAGCGATCCTGCAACGCCCCATTGCACTGCGGCGACGGGTTCCGCTGTGGGTTTTAGTGAGTAGGAGTCTCAGAGTACCTTGTCCGTTATGACGGCGGGTAGGGTCCCCATGATGGGTTTCCCCAGCGTCAACAAAAAAAAACCTAGTCTGCTTACCCTATAGGTACTCTAGACTATAGACTTAAGTAGACAATAAAATGATTCGTGCGTACTCTTACTTAAAACACTTATGCCCGATTTCACCAACGTCACCTAAGTTTAAGGGATCTAAGCATAGTTAGGGGGCTGTTAGGGGACAGTTTCTGTTTCACCGACAGTTAGGGGTCACCTAAATATTAAAAGGCCCCCTAAATTTAGGTGATCGAAATATGGGCTTAAAGACGATCGTAAAACGAAACTTAATTTAGGGGCTAGTTTAGGGGACTTTTAAGCTATTTTCATACGTAAGTGGTAGCTTATGGTGAAATCGGGTATTAGACTTAATTGTACTAATCTGCATGTACATACATATTATAAATAGGCAAAGGCAAAACAATTCAGTCAACCGTTTTTTTTTGTTTAATGGCTTTAATTAACTTTAGTACTAGTAGGTAAATTCTATTCAAATATGTTTTCCACAAACGGTTGAATTTCAAGCACTTAGCGAGCGTTAATATAAATATAACCTATTGCTTTTGGCATTTTTATTGTTCGTTTATTTCTTATATAATTTAATAAATAACATATATACTTAATTTATACTTTTAGTCTAAGAAACAAACTTGGTGAAGATTTTGCATGACATACTCTAAAAATTCAGCAGAATTGAGTACCTCCTATTTTAGAAATCGGTTAAAAGGCACCAGTTTTATCTAAAAGTTTTAATTCAATTTAAAATTTACAAAAGTTATTATACATATGTACGAGCTGTAAGATATTCAAAATTTATTTCCATCTACAACATACTTGTAAAAGGATATCAAGGAATTACTTATAATAAAAGATATATTTTATTTCAAGTAGAAAAAAACTTCGAACCTAACTCAAACATGTCATTTAAACGCCTACTGCACTTTATATTTCTAACGAACTTGGGAAATTGAAAAGTACTAACAAAAAAACTCCAAACGCCTTACTTTAAGTTTTTCTATTGAGAAGCGTGGTATTATAATGAACATGCGAGTGCGCAAACACAATTGCACTCTCTATTCCTTTGATCCTCAAAGTCACTCGACATCGTATTAGATGTAACACAAATTCCTCAATTTAAGGCTGTTAGCGAAATCTCAACAGATAAAAAAAACTACATACATGTATCGTAACTCGAACCCAGATCGTCATGTCAGCCACTAGACCAATGGAGCGGTTCATAATATCTCCCACGCAGATCATATATGTCTTATTAAAATTGGCCACTTTAACCGAGATCAGCCATGTTGATATTATTATGGAGGACCTCGACCCGATGGATTCAGAACATCCTAAAACAAATATTTTACAAACACATTTTGACACACTAGAACACTCGAAAAGGTTATGAAAATATTTTGGCTTCTGATTCTATTGACTTTCCATAGAAAATGTACGTATAAATACCATTCGCTCTTTTACCCTACGTAACCCAACCTCTGCCACCTTTAGAAATAGACATAGGAAAACGACTCTTATTTTTATGCACAACAAAATTGAAAATAATCATTGTCAAATAAATAATCATTCAGCACTATCATTGCATCTATAATGTTTTTATATATCGTTAAATACCGTTTATATCTATCAAATTAGTATAAAAACTTCTATTTGATCAAATCGCACATGACTCAGATCCTTTGCATTGTAATTTGGCTCGCCGTAGGAAGGAGTTGGCCTTGTGAAAGTCACTATAAACAAAAACTCACGCGAAATTAAATCTTATTTGCATGTAATAAGGGATAAATAAAAGCAAGAAAGCTTGGGAAATCTAAATATCCTATATACCTCAGAACGCTCCTGTATGACATAACATAGCAACAAGTAGAAGGTCAATTTGCCATTGACGTTAGTTCTTATGTTAGATTTTAATAGACACGAGAAAAGTTTTTTTTTATATTCTAGCTTTTCATATTTTTATTCCATTATATTCTCATAAACTACCAAATATCAACTTTGTTCGAATTAAATTAGCTAAGAAAAAGTGATAATATACTTTGTAGACAAGCTGTTACGTGAAACTCATGACGATTCGGGTTGTTGTATTCAGCCCTTTTTAACGTCCTACTGTTGGGGGTGGCCCTCCCTTCAATACGAGTGGTCAGGAATCAGGCCATAGTCCACCACGCTGGCCGAGTGCGGGTTGGCAGACTTCATATGTCTTTCGAAATTTGTAGGTTTCACCGTAAGGCAAGTGGTAATCATGTTAGAAATGATTCGCACATGAAAATATCAGAAGTGCGAGACTTGGGATTTGAACCCGCTTCACTCGATTTCCGAAACAAGCGCGTTACCACTGGGCTACCACTGCCTCTTTTAGGTACAATTCGGTTATTTTAATGAAAATCATAGGACATTATAATAATTAGGGCGCATCCATTAATTACGTGAG